GAAGCGCGTCTCTGGGTGAGATACCACTCCATCACACACACTACACGGCATTTGGAGACAACAATTAGTGTAACTAGAACATGCCAAACTCAAACCCCCTCCTCAGCAGTGCTGTGCTGGCCCCTGTGCCCCCCAGGCTGAGAATAGTCAGCCCCTGAGGGTAAACCCCTTACATTTCAGTGATGTTTTCAGAATGCTGACATGTATATGATTTTACTGCAACATGTGACTGATGCTGGTTATACGTTTTTAATGAAAAATTCCAGATCTTCTAGCACAGAATTTAAATCCCTGCCATGTTACTTCCTTCCTTCTAATATCAACAAATGTATAACCATCACTTATTCATTAATATGATCTATATTTAATTAGCTAATCCAGCATCAGTACCAAGACTTTTAAAAGATTTCTTGAAGCGTTAGAAATGGTGCGTAGTTATGCTCAAGGAATGGAGAAGGAGGGAACAAATAAAAATGGGAGGAGTGTAGAAAGAGAGAGGGAGGGAGAGAGAAAAAGCCTTACACAGGAGATCTGATCCTCAGAGCCTACGGGCTGGTGGATTTGTGCAACAGGGCAGGATGCCCAGTTTCGGGAAAGGTCCTGGCTGTGTCAGAGGTGAAGCAGAACTTCTCTCTGGTTCTCACGCGGCGCTGACGATGTGAGGCGTAGAAGGAGCGTCTGGGTACCGTCTGAGTCGTGTCACTTGGCATCGCTGGAATCCCGGGTGAAGGGTAACTCCTTGAGATCTTCTTTTGGCTTTTGACATTAATTAACTTTGCTTACCAATGGGGCGGTATTCAAATTAGTTGGTTTTTAATGTTCGTCAAGTTACACTCTTCAGTTTTCTTAAAGTTTTCTTGATATTTGGTTCCTCAGGGGAGTGGGGACACCTTTTCCTGACTAGTGCTGCTGTAAAATAAACACTCTGTATAAAGCTTTTAGCTTTATTTTTAGTTTTCATATTGTTTTTGCACAAATGACTATACCATATGCCACCCAGGGTCTGCTGTCCCCACACTGTGACTTTAACGTGAGTTGTCAGCATGTTGTTGTATCCTGCTGTGGGTGTGGTGTTTAGGTCATGCTGTGATTTTGGTGTTTAGGTCATGCTGTGATTTTGGTGTTAGGTCATGCTGTGATTTTGGTGTCAGGTCGCAGTCTGAGTGTGTTGCTTAGTTGTGCCTGTGAATGCCTTATAACTTATGGCGCTTTTCCAGTGCCATACAGGAACTGGAGTCGTACCTGAACCATAACACAAAGACAGACTAGTTCCAACTCGGTTCCAGCTTGCTTTGATTTTCCAGCGCAGGAGGGTCAACTGGGTAAACATGTTGCTGGGTTCGGAGGGCGACAATGATGTCGACCCGAAGAGATGCTTGTTTACTGTTCACATGGTGTACATCATGATTTACTATGTGCTAATTTCCGCTAGCAAGTCAGTGAGAATCGCTGTCTTACTTTACATTAGTGGAATTAGCATTAGTTTGCAGAAATTTGCATTACGAATTCATTCTGCTCAGCTGTTCTATAATACTTTTTTAACGAGATGGTTGGAAATTTTCAAGTTCTGAAATTTCTGAGATCTGGGAATGCATTGATACATGGCAAAGTGTGATTCTACTAGTAATGAATTATATTCCATGCATATCGATGCATATCACCGGTATCTCCCTGCAACTCGACCAATCAGATGGTGTGGGCGCAACACCTTGGTTTAGTCCCGCTATTGACACTGCTGGTAAGGAAGGCCATGTCGGCTCGGGCACAGCTTGGGCACGGCTTGGTTCTTGATAGCAGTGGAAAAGCGCCATTACTCTCCTTGTCTTTGAACTCTATCCTATTTGCAGGATGATGGACCAAATGCAAACTCCAGAAGCCTGCTTGAGACAGACTACAGTGCACTCCTTCGAGATTCTGTACTGGATAAGTGGCTGGAGGACGCATAAATGAACTGAAAGAATAATCTGATTAAATGTTCCCTATGCATTAGAGTCAAACATGAGTTAGTATTCTTACATATCTTAACAGAGTTCAGTCTTACCTATGAACCATGATGGCATCTTTAAGACAAGCAGATATTTAATCAGCTGTATGGGTCCAGTCAGCTGACTTGTCTCCTTTTAAACTCAGGGGAAGCTCTGGCACGCATTACCCATTAGCATAGTGCCACACGGAAAGCTGGGTGGAAGAGTGTGTTGGTAGTTAGTGCCCCACCAGAGGTGGACTCATCTGCCCAATGCATCAAACTGGACAAGCTTGTCCTTCCACAAGTGTCTCTCAGAGTTCTTCATTTCAGAACCAGTTCTCAGGGAGAGTGAATTTGAGGAAGTGTGTTGTGCATACCTTTATGGAGCAAATTTGTTTTTCGGAACTGAAACTACCACAACCACCCCCCCCCCCCATGCATTTTAGCAACAGATGGCAGGTGTCAGCCAACCTCATGACAGTAGAGAGCCTTCCTCCTTAGGTTTATCTTGAATGGAGCAGGAATGTGCTATAATGCAACAATGCTGCTGTCATAAATAGCATTGCCCAAACGTGTACGCCATGACGGTGTCGTTCTGGCTGGATCAGCATGTGGAGATGTCTCTCTCTTTCGTTTTTCATTTGTTGTCTTATCTTTTCTCGTAAGGCAGAGTTTGTTTGCTTAATGGTCACTGTACTGTATATTGGTCACCTGTGTCGGCAGCGTGTCCTGATTCTGGGAAGCAGGATAAAAAGCGAAAGAGAAAAACACATAAATTACGGGCTGAAGACACAAAAAGATTGATGCATCCTTCTGGAACCAGTGATCTCTGCTTTTTTTTTAGCTGGGGGCAAGATTCGAGAGGGGCGTGTTTATTCATGAATGCGGTGGTCACGTGACCTGGGGTGCGCGGTGGATCAATCTGACTCGCACAGAAAGGAATTCCTCTCGTCGTTCCCACCAGTGTCCCCCCTAAGTAGTAGAAGGCCTTTAATGGGCACTTCACATTTCAACAAGAGGGAAATAAGTCATCTTTCAGAAGCGAGCAGGAGAGCTCCCCTTTAATCAGAATTTAAAGGGTAGTTTGATGGAAATTCAGCATAATCAACACATATATTGTTTACTGTAATACAAATATTTAATCTTATTTTCTGGTGTGTTTTTGAGTACAAGTATATTTAAATACTGCTACATAATCAGGAACACAACTCCAGTCTTCTGACATGGCCAGTAAAAACACAAGCGGAGATGCTTCCCGGTGGTGATAGAGGGTTATGCAAAGAAAGCACAGCTGCTCCGTTTAATGGAGTTTTCTTTTGGAGTAAAAGACACTGGTCTTCAGTGGCTAGTTAACACCGATGCAGAATTGCAGTCTGATGATGGTCAGTTCTGAATTGATTTGACATTTTAACAGGTTTATGAAGAACGCTGACAATAAACTTCACTTTATTACTTTCGTACTTTGATTTTCGGTTAAAATTAGAAGTTTGTAGTTGCTCTTCTGGGTGACCTGGTAGTCGGTCAGCATGGAGTCTCTGCATGAAGAGGGGTAGGAGGTAATGCTGTAGGAATCGGCTGTTCCTCACCTCCTGTTAGAGGTCCCATTAAAAAGTGGAAAGCTGCTAAAGGTATCTGCTGGGTTCAGTCCAAATGGACATGGGCGGAGCGGCCTGTAGGCCCCATGCTGTAAAGTGCAAGCAGCTTCCCGCTGTCCTGTGACGGTCAGCTGTCCAAAAACAGGAGGCGTGGCGTTCGCGTTTCGAGGGTCCCTTCAACACTGGACATCAGCTAAATGACCTAGAAACCAGGACATGATATCTGTTTACATCATGAAAAGGCAAATTTAATAATTCCCGGGCATGGCATGGTCTCACAGTGTGTGTGGGGTGTGATTCTCTGTGTGTGTATGGGGGTGGTGTGTGGCTCTCTTGTGCCTCTAATCAGTAGGTCGCTGGTTCAAATCCCGGGGTGACTTTTTTTTTCCCTTTGGGCCCTTGAGCAAGACCCTTAATCCCCAGCTGCTCCAGGGATTGTCTGACACCGGCTCTGTTTAATTATACAAGTAGCGGAATCACTCACAAACTCTGACGAGGATAAGTGGTTGGAAAAAGCATGGATCTGATGTTTTGTATGAAGTATAAGTAAATATATCTGCAATTATTTTTAATTACAATGGAGCATTTTTAAAATATCATCCAGGCTGCCACAAATATAGATGTTAGATTACTGTTGAGTAGAGAGATATTAGTCACTGTGCAGGAATGTGGATTAATGGATTATTGGTGTCACTTTGAAGTGGGATCACAGTTGTGCTTTGCAGGATCAATTGGTTTGCACAGTGAGATCTCTGGCCTAATGCTTGGGCCCCTTATTGTGCGGTAATTCTGTGTGTGTGCACCTTTGTTTAAAGGCAAGAACTCTGAGAATCCCCTTTCATCTCACTGCCGCTTTCTGTGGAGTTGTTTTCAGAAAGCGCTTTGACGGCTAAGTCGAGGTTCGTCAGGAACACAGGCTAGAGTTTTTCTTTTGTGTTTTTTTTTTTTTTTCGTTTGCCGTCATAGATCTAAACGCTCCTTCATCGGCCTGATAAAAGCTCCGGCGTGAGGGAGATTAGTAGGAGCGGTAACTGCTCGCCGTGTCGAAGGATTACGTGCTTGGAAACCGCACTACACAGAAGCTCAGTAGGACTTTTGTATTTGCTGAAGGGTTTGTGTAAGATGTGGAGGGTTGTGGAAGTTCTGGGCAGGGCTGAAGTCATCCGACAAGCTCTTTCCTTCACCTGACGCCAGTTTCCGATGATATGAAACATTCTCCTCATTCTTCTCAACTGCGATAGACCCAGCCATGTGGCCCCAAATGTGACGTCCATTTTGTATTCCTGTATCTTCACCCTGGTGCTGAAGTTCCTCTGTCGTGTCCGTGTTCTTACTGACCGAAGCGGCTGTCGGGCACAGAAACAAACACGATGTCCAGAAATTTCCTGAATGTTGGATGAGGGCTGGCCCCCTGACCCCGGTACTGCTGTGCTCCCCAGGAAGGTGTGCTGCCTGGGTACGGCGAGGATGAATTCTGAGGAGGCGACACATGCGTCCCCTCGGAGGTGCTCCGCCTCCTCACAGGAAGCCCCGCCTCCTATGGAGTGCTGCTCGATGGAGGACTACTGGAGCGAGAGGAAGAGCATCGAGGAGGAGGGCAGTCAGGGAGGGAACGTGTCACCATTGGAGAGGCGGAGCATGGATGGTACGTACGTAGGGTATCAGCGGGGGAAACGAGCCTGGGGGGGCCAGGGCTGGGGAGGGCAAGCCAGTCATGTCTTCTATCACTCACTACAGTGAGGCCAACCTTATTATTACCTAATAATATAATTTGAATTGGTGAGTGACAGGGGAGGGGGCACTCAGGGAGCCAATCAGCTTTCAGCTGGGGGCACTGCCCCAGTGTTCCTTCCCCTGTACAAACAGCTACTACTTATATTGGCATTTAGCTGAGGCTGTTATCCAGAGCCAAGTACCAAGCATACAGGGGAAAACTATAAAATACTATGTGCTACTATCTAATGCATGAGCCAGTGATGACTGACATGTCAGTAAGCTGTACCAGTGCACAGTGCAGTGTGACTTTTTTTTACTGACCATTATAAGTCTTTGGTTGATTTAAATTAGAATTTTAGAACAGGCTTTTTCACGGACACCTATGCCGTGAGTGATGGGAGGGTCCTCTCTTTCGGCTTGCTTTCAGAGGCTGAGATGGAGGAGGCGTGGCTGAAGGACGCGGGGCTGTCCACACTGGTGTCCGACACCCCCGGGGACCCGCAAGTGCCCGCGGAGGCGCTGCTGTCCACGCTGACGCGCTCGCAGGCCGCCCTCGTCAGGAAGCGCATGGATAACTACACGCAGACTTTGCGCAACCGCAACAGGCAGTGTGTGCGGCACGTGCGGGACGTCTTTCCTGGTGTGGTAAGTGGGCTGGGCGGAGCCTCGACCATAACTATGCTTCCATAGAAGGCACTGGATGGATTATCCCAATACACCCATGTAAAGACCCTTGGGGTGCTATTTAGAAATGAATTGAATTGAATCAGGAGGCATCTCTAAATCATCAGTGGTTTGAGCTTGTGTGTGAGTCCTGTGATGGACTGGCATCCTGTCCAAAACATTCCCCCTACTCCGTATCCTCTGCCGCCTGGGATCGGCTCTCGGCCCCCCATGATCTTGTATCGGATGAGCTGCCGGGGGATGGGTGGCTGGATGGATGGAATTCAATGATGTCATCTCATCTGGGTTCGTGCTTATTGTACGACTTAAGGTGGCGTTTCTCAGCTGGTGGATCGCAGGATCATTCTCAATGGGACACCAAGTGTGTGGTTTTAAAAAAGGATCCTTTTGCCATTTTGAGCACCCCCAATGACTATGACGTAATGCGGGTCTTCAGGCTAAGCCAGTTAAGCACCACTGATCTAAGGAGGGGTAAGAGAATGAATTATAGAGGTAAATATAAACAGCTTCTCTTGTATTTCAGTTTGTCTAATGTGCCTGGGAGTGTAAAGATAAAGACTTTGATAAATCGATGGAGGCACTGAGCACAGTTGGACATCCACTCTGTGGCTTTCAAACAGGGATGGTTTCCACTAGAGAGATATTTAGCTGTATGCAGTGGATGGAACCATCTGATCCCGTCTGAGCACATGGCAGAATGGCAACATGGTTTGGCTTGAGATAGTGGTGCTCGCCGATGCTCAGTGATGCTCGCCGATGCTCAGTGGTGCTCGCCGATGCTCAGTGGTGCTCGCCGATGCTCAGTGGTGCTCGCCGATGCTCAGTGATGCTCGTCGATGCTCAGTGGTGCTCGCTGATGCTCGATTAGGTGATAACGCTGCAATCTCATCCTCCTGCCGGTCTCCTCAGCCCCCTGGCCTCCCTGTCTGCGATTCCGTTACATAGTTCTGCACTGCAGCTCCGAGGTCACCTTCATGGGAAAGGAGTAAGGGTCCACTGGAGGCCGGAGGGATGGTGACGAGCTTGCAAATGACAGCAAGGGCTTCGGGGGGCTTGGCCTGTTATAGCCGTGTCCAATCAGACCAGACCTTTGTCGCCGAGGGTGAAATGTCATGTAGGATCCCTGGCTGTGATGTCACGTGGTGTGTGGTGACGACATCCCAGGCTGCCTGCTGGACATTTAGCTTCACTGGGAGTCATGTAGCCCCTCCCCCCCCCCAAACAGTCTTTAGCAACCTTGGACATGGTCCAGAAGTGATTGCTGTTGGTTTTGCCAGATGGGTGAAACAAGAAGGATGAGTACTTTCATCCTTGGGGTCGTGATGTGAGTCAGTACATCCAGATGCCGTCTGGCCAAACAAGTCATTCCTTGGTATAATATGGAAATTTCCTGGATAGAGCTGCATGGGTTTGCTGATAATCATGGTAATTCATTACTAAGCAGACATACATGCATCTCTGCATACCTACTTACGGTTTTGTTATTCTGGCTTTTCTGGAGAGCTTTTTGTTAAATATAGTATCAGTTGAAAGTCTGGACACACCTGCTGTTGATGCATTTGTCTCTGATTTAGGTATGTTATTCAGCTTATGATGAGGCAATCAATTAATGCATCAAATATTGTAATGACCAAGAGAAGTGTTCAACATCTCAAAAATGTTTCATATTTTGCTTCGATGACAGCTTTGCCACCTGGAATATTTCTCCAATAGTCCTGAAGGAGTTTCCTCAAGTTCAGGGCACGAATGAGCTGCCTTACTCTTACCCTTCGATTAAGCTCATCCCAAACCAGCTCTATTGAGTTTACGTTGGGGGATTGTGGGGGTCAGGTCACCTTCCTCAGCGCTCCATCTCGTTCCTTGTTCACAAGATAATACTTTTTACATAACCTTGAGTTTGCTTACCGTCGTTATCTTGTTAAAAAAACAAATGATTTTCAGTAGGTGTGTCCATACTTTTGGTCGGTACTATAAGAGTAAAAATATACATTGTATCAACAAATAACCATTCCTGTGGTTAATGTTAGCTGAAATGGGTTCTGCGGACTGGTACTACACTTCAGGGTGGGATAACATGTTAAGTTGCTGTTTCTGCAGCCTGTGTGGCGGTCTAGCATTTTGCCCTGGGAGTGTCCTTTTGACACCGTATGTGGTTTGTGGATGAAAGCCCCTAAAGGGGAACATGTCAGACGAGTGCTCACAGCTGCTTGGCGAGAGGCTCCTCCCGACCTTGGCAGATTCGTGCCCCTCATGATTTGCCCAAAATGGGAGCTAAAGGGTAAAGGGAGCAGAGAGGAAGCGACTGAGAAGAGTGGGAGGAGCCAGGGAGCTGAGACGGGCTGCAGTCTTGTTTTGTCTCTGCATCTGAATGAGGGACTTAGAGTCTCAGTGCTATCAGGATGCAGGAAACCTGTCCTTGAGGTGTCTGCAGACACTGTAGTTCATAATAAATCCCCGAGCTCTTATCTCTGGGATACCAGTAAGAATATTACAAAACCATATTGCCTGTATTTGTAGGCATTTCAAGGGTTTGGGGCTATTTCAGTCCATTTTTCATTATTCTTTAGTATGCTATGAGATCTCAGTGAATTTCAAATTATTTTTAAAAGAGTGTTTCTCTTAAGAAGCATGTAGCGTTTCTTTATAACACAATGAACTAAAACAAGGTCTGTAATTAGATTTTCAAATATTCTGTGGCACGCCACTGCTACTAGCATTATGTTATGCTGTGTGGTGAAAATGGTAAGAAAACAATGTCCCAGAGAGTGTATGCATGCTCCATTGTACGTGTTATGTCTTTGCACAGCTGCTGTCCAAACTGGAGCAGACCGGACTGCAGACGGAGGGCATCTTGAGAATCCCGGGGTCTGTTTCTAGGGTAAAGGTAAGACCGGGCGTGACGGTGGCAGCTGACTAACCCAACAGCAGAGATGCCGTTCACCCGACTCTGCAGATCAGCATTCTGACGCATGCGAGTTCCTCAAGACCCTTCTCGACCAATACCATAATGTGTTAATGCGTTCAAACCCCCCATATAAAAGAGTTTACAAGATCAGATGAAGTCTATTCTCACTTCAGAAACACTGTACTTTATATTACAAGTACAGACAGATGATTTCACGATGGCTGGCTGAGCGCTGCTCTAATTTAGCCTAGGTGTCAAGTGTCGCAACGTGACACCATTTCTCAGCATTAGCCTTAGCCGCATGCCTTTGGTCCGGTTAGCCTTGCCAGGCTAACACTGAAATGCAGTGGCAGGCTACAGTACATAAAATCCCCACCTGGGTCTTGGGGACTCCAGGTGCTAAAGGTTCCAAAGGTTCCACAGATATCCGCCTACTCCCTTCATGGGACAGACCGGAATCCTCAATCCGGGGTCAAGCCAGGACGTCCATGTGTCCCAGCTCGATCTGCTCTTTTTGAAGAGCGGTTGCACAGTTCGCCTCCTACCTTTTAGAGCATGCCCGTCAAAGACATGCAGCGGATTTGGCTTTTGTGGCGGTTCCTGTCCATAGTCTATCGCCACGGTGACTCACTCTTCCCATTCGACTGTTGGCAGCACCTGAGGCAACAACTGGAGGCCAGTTTCTACGAGGATCGCTTTGACTGGGAGCAGGTGCGCCAAAACGACGCTGCGGGCCTGCTCAAGACATTCATCCGGGAGCTTCCAAGCCCCCTGCTCACCCAGCGGTACCTGCCGACCTTCACCTCCGTGCTGAGTGAGTCCTGGTTCTGTGGTCCTGTGAAACGCTCTACCCTATAGTTCTGTATGCCTCTTCTCCCTCTTAACCTCACCTCAAGGGTGCCAGTCTTGTTAGGTGCATAAAAACCTTGGTAATCTTCTAAAAGCCTGTTGACTTGTGCTGAATGTAACATTGACTGGACTTTCTACCTGTCGCTCTGGTTGTCAGGTATCTCATCGCAGAGGCATCAAATTCAAGCCCTACACCTGCTCATCATGCTGCTGCCCGAACCCCACCGAGACACCTTGAAGGTAACGTTCTGCTAAACTGGCGGGACTCGCAGTCCAGCATCTCCAGTCCCTGTTGTCAATTGACAGTGAATATTTATCACACTCTGAATTCCTGAAGGACCTTCACTTGGCTGTGGAATACAGTCAGCCCTAGTGCATTCACGCTTCGTGATTCGTGAATTCACAGATCCACGAAAATTACATGTACATGTTTCCTTTACGTATTTTATTGAATTGTACCTTGGTTATGTATATGACTTCTGTCTGTCAATAAGTTTACAGTCCCATTCATTTACTCATTTTACCTTACTGTGAATGCAAAAGAAAACGGCAGCCAATGCCGTGTTCTATGAATTAGTAGGGGTAACATTAGTTTACTGTACTGTAAATGTGCTAGTGTGACAAATATCCGTTAGGCGATACTGTACTCTATTTTTACATCAAACATTTGTTTTTTTAAAGGTAATGTATTAAGCTAACTTTTAAATGAAATTAAAGTGTTTTGGGAGCATGATTGGGGTCGTATTTAGGGTTTAAACAATAGAAATAAGCACATATTACCATTTTTAGTGACTCTACCAAACATCCGCGAATCCTCCTCATTCACGATGGGTTCTGGAACCTAACCTCGCGAATGTCTGTGGTCTGACTGTACGTTTAAGTTCCGGGAAAAGCCCAAGAACCCAAAATGTTCAATTCTTATTTAAAGCATTTAAACACTCAGCATAGGCTATTTGAAAATGAACGAGCTTCAGGAGGTTGGAAAAACAAGTCTGACCAGCAAATCTTCCACATTGTGAAAATCTGGAAAGATGACAATGCGTTTTTCCCTGGTTAGACGTACAGTATTATTCAGTGGTAACTGCACCAGTCTCTGTGTCGTATAGAAACACAAAGTAATTGGTTGCCACTCATGGCTTGGTGTCAGAATTGGTGTCACAGACGCAGAGCTGTATAAAGAAACGCTTCATGCAAAGAAGGCAACATTTATAATTACCATACCATTAATATCATTGGCATCTAGAACAGAAATATCAACAGTATATTAAGGGCTTTAAAATTAAAATGTGGTGTAGCCATCTGATGATCCACTGTTAATCTATATTCATCATTCTGTTGATCTGCTGTTTAGCTACATTTATCCCTTATAACCACTGGGTATGTACACTAGTTCATGATTATGCTTGAAGTTTGGTTTAATTTTCTTCTTGCTTCCATTTTGTATAGCTTTGCTATAGTTCTGGTTATGCTTGGAAAAGCGTGTCACGTGTGTTTAAATTTATTATTTGGTTTTACCATAACTTTAGATGAGATTGTTCTCGCATGATTTACTTCATAATATTGCTCCTGCTCTCTCATCCACCGGGAAAATAATGTTGGCAGCCTGTTGGTGTCGGAGTGGAGATGAAGGTCGATCCTGTTTCTGTTCCCTAAGGCTTTACTGGAGTTCCTGAGGAAGGTGGTGGCGCATGAGGAGAGGAACCGCATGAGCCTGTGTAACGTCTCCATGATCGTGGCACCCAACCTCTTCATCTCCCGGGGGAAGACGGGCAGGCCGGAGGAGATCCAGGCGGCAGCTAAGGAGGCCTACCTGGTGCGACTCCTCATTACTCACCAGGACCTCCTCTGGAGGGTAAGCCGTCCCCTCAGATCCAACCGAATCTCCCAAGCAACGTGACACAAAGAACCATAAAAGGGCCAAATCCATTTTTCCTGAATATTCTTTTAAACCAAAAAAAAAAATCATAAAAATCGAGTGGTGGTTTTCTCTTCCCAGGTCCCCTGCTTTTTAATTGGTCATATAAGACAGATGAATGAAGCTTCTATGAACAGGAAGACCATGTCCTCTGAGAAGTGCAAGAAGAAGCTTCTCAGAAGAAGGCAGCCGGAGCGTAACAAAGGAGACAGAAGCGAAGTATGGAGCTGGCGAATTTCTAAATGCCGTTAGTCCCGCCCACACATAACTTGATAGTGTTTAACACCAAAAGGCTAGTGTGTGATCCTGAATGGAGTCACGGCCCAAAACACTGAAGAATTACTCTGGCTTGTGTGCACAGCTCACCGACTTTCGGGATGGGGTGATTCGGGTACACGCACCCCAGCACGCAAAGGTGTCCATGGCGATACGGCTGGACAGCGAGACGAAGGCGAGGGACGTCGTCGCCCGCTTTCACTCTGAAACCAGGTCAGGAGACGGGCCGCCTGAGACACCGTCATCGGGCCCTCTCGCTTCCAGGTGTCACCTCAGGTTCTCTCCTGAAATTTCCTTCATCTTCTCTCCAGCAGAGGTTCACGAAGCGCCAGCCGGAGACATAGAGCCCATTTGTTTGAAGTTGGAGGAAATATAGGTATGAAATGAATAAGCATTTTTGATTTTTGATGCTTCGGGAATGAATTCATTAGCGCTGCAACTGATTAGCACTTTGTCATCCGTTCCCAGGCTGAGTGTTTTATCATTTTTTCCAGGTGAGCGCTGCTTGGATCCTGAGACATATCTCCTCGACTTGCACCATGTGAATCCCAACTGCGAGTGGATATTAAAGCCTCGGACAGCGTGACAGCGTGTTGCTGCGGGAAATTATAACAATGGGGGGGGGGGGAAGCCCTCTTTTGCCCCCTGCTGGACATTCTCAGGACTACGAGTCAGGGTGACTTAGGTTTCAGCTGGTGGTACGCAGATGTGAGGCGAGTGGGCTGCAGCTCGGACACGACAGCCTGGAGCTGAAAGATGAGCTGCAGCTATTGGGGGAAAAAATCTAGGCGGAAGCCACTGACCTGCAGACCTCCATATTTCTACAGGCATTGTCTCATGGACTCAAGTGCAGGATAAACTTGAGATAAATTCAAAGCATTTTGATAATGAACTTAAAAATTTTTTGCCAGAAAAATACAAGCCATCTGCCAGAATGCTCAGCTTGTGAAATTTCAGCTATATGTCTCACAAGAAGGACACTTCTGTAAAGACTTTACAGGTCTGGAAACTTTTTGCCAATGGAAATATAGCTGGACTGTAATTTATGTGTATAAAAATATTTATATGATTAATTTATCCCACCTTTTGTACAGTTTGATGATGCATAAACACTATGAAGTCTTGGGGCGAGCCTTAAGGTTTCCCCGAAGGTGTTTAGCAGGCCTGCTTTAGGTGAACCCGGTAGGATATATCCGACGTCGGCAGCTGGAGCTGCTTATGCTCCGAGGCCCGGAAGCCTAGTGAGTTTCTCCCTTGCAGGCAGAGGTGCCTCTGACTGAAGGCCCGATGGTCAGTGCCCCGCCGACGGTGGCTCTGGTAGCGACGAAAGCCACATCCGAAGAGGACTCGGCAGTGACAGGCAGCCCCCCGGATGTGAAAGACGTTACTGGGGTGTTGGCTAGCATTCACCACAAACTCCACTGCAATGGTGTATTTCCCACCTGGCTGTAGTCCATCAGTGCTCCTGGGACCGAAAATGCTGGATGTATGGCATTGGGTTTCGAAACATACTGCTGTTTAATGAGGAAAGGTCCACTTCCTGTCTCCATGTCAAAGGAAAGATCCACTTCCTGTCAAACACTTATATGCACGTATACAGAAACACTGAATGTCTGTTCTCCATTGTTTTGTATATGTTTCTGTTTTGATTAATTACTGTTTAACACTGGAAAGAAAATTTGTTTCTCTTGGCATGACTTTTTTATGAAATATATTAACTTTATTTCCACGTTATTGACACTGGCCAGTTCAGATTTTGCCTGATGCACCTCCATAATCTGTATTATTGACACAACGAGAAGAGAAAACTACTTGACCAATGTGAACATTGGCTGATTTTGGAACATGGCTGTTATTTCCTGACATCTTGCACTTTTTTTTAGTACAGATGTGCAACACTGAGACTCTCAATGTGGACAAGGAGCTGCTTTCCATGTTAACAGCTGCAGCACATGGGATCAGGGATTTTACCCACAGTAGCAATTTAAGTAAATAATTGACAGGGCTCACAATCCTCCGCGTTGCTTATTGCATAAATGGAGAGCAGTCACTGTTGCCTAAGATGAAGGATATGAATAACAGCATGAGTAATTTCATAATCTATCACTAGTTAGTATATGGCTGGCCACTGACATCACACCCAGCGATCTGATTCTTTGATTGACAGGTGTATATTTTCCTTACCTCATAGGGGAGAGGAAGTAGGGTGATGATGATTAGCTAAAGATGACTCATCGAAATGTACAAAGAACATACAGACTCCGGAAGAAGATTTTATATTTATTTTTTATTTAATTTTTCTCCTCCATACCTAAATGTACCATTTTTTTGTTTGTTTGCTGATGTGTTACAATGTAATTTTGGCACTAATATTACCTTCAGTGAATCTTTTCCCTCAAAAGATGATATATTTTCTGCCAAACTCGGTTTTTATCATTTCATGTGTTTATGAACAAATAAACTGTATATAATGGACGCAAGGTTTAAGAAGGCACAGGTATTTTTGGGGGCCTCTTCCTGCCTTGATATCTTCATGGGGGGGCTTCACTGAGGGGGTGATGCCGGCGCTCCGGGACAGGAATACGGGACGATCCCACGGAGAACGAAGGCCTTGCTGAAGTCCAGCTTTCGGACCTGGGCGCCCTTAGCGAGACGGACGTTAGCCATGCAGCCGCTGAAGGGAGCCCTGGTGGTCAGGCAGCTCTGCGTCACTCCAGCTGGGGGGGGGGGCACATCGGGAGAGACCCTTAAAATGTCCCTGTGTAATTTACTGCAGCCGGCAGGTAAAATAATGTCCCCAGGTAACCATGACGATGTACAGACATTCAGCCTACAGCCCACCAGCATGCCCCAATATGTAAAGCAAAAGTTGTCCCCTACCGATGGCAATGTTTGTGAATTTGCCAGAAAGCATTAGGTATGGTCACTATTTAATGGGCATGGTAGAAAACACATCCTTATGTGATGTCATCTTTAAGCCCCGACTGTCCTCTTTAAAGGAACTATAGGACTTAATATGGTGGCATGAATATTATGAGATAGGGGCAAAAACATGATGTCTTCTACAGGGGACAAAAATGGACTGCTGGATCTCAGGAGGGTATTGAATAAGACAGGGAAGTTGCACCTGGAAAGTGAGTAAGCATAGTGAGAAGGAGGAGGAGGAGGAGGAGGAGGAGGAGGAGGAGGGGATCTGCATACCAGGAAAGCCCCCCACGTAGACGGGGTTGTTGGAGTCCACTGAGGAGGCCCGGGGATGCGGGTTCTCGCTGCGCACGGTGACCCCGTCCACCGTCAGACTCACGCCATGCTTGGTCTTATTGGCCGTCACCGTGTGCCAAAGGCCGTCGCACAGCTGGCCGTGCTGCTCCAGGTCGTAGGCGGCGGAGATGAGGCCCGCCCCGTTATTCACGTGGAACCACACCTGCAGGTGCCAACATGGTGGGGGGTGCATTTCGGGAGGGGGGGGGGTTCCAAGATTTTTTTTTAGTATACCTCCTACATCACTGTGTGTGCGTGGGTCATTACATTACATTACATTACATTACATATCACAACGTGATAAAAACCTGTTATTTTGACATTGGGGGGACCATTTTATCGGTTCCATAAACAGTGAAATTTAGTTTTATAAAAAATCTGTGACTGCGTTCAAAACTAAAAATGCCAAAAGACCGGTATTTTGTTTGGTTACTTATGGTTAAGGTTATGGCCGAGGTAGGAGTTCAGGTTGTCATTGTTGGGATTAGGGTATTGCCCATAGAAATGAATGGATGGTCCCCACGAAGATATGAATACAAACCTGTACGTGTGTGTGTGTGTGTGTGTGATTTTTGCATCACGCCCCCAAATTCTGGGACTGGCTGACCCTGCTTTCTCAATTTCTCAAACTTTGGATAAAAGTAAATATAATGTGTATGTGCCCTCTGATGGACTGGCGTCCCAGCCGGCGTGTCGCCCTCATATGTGCCCTCTGATGGACTGGCATCCTGGGTTGGGCTCAGTGTCCCTCGGCCACCTGACTAGGGTAAGTGGCTGGAAGACTGATGGATCTGTCACATTAACATTTCAGGATGCATTTACCAGGATCCCTTGTTTTAAATGTATAAATGCAAAATTCATATCTCTGTATGCCTGGTGCTACACGGGACGGTCATGGTGATTGTGGTGGTGCCGTCTGTGATGGACACGGTTCCCATGCGTCTGCCGTGACGCTACTGTGACTCTGCCCTGACTCTCACCTGTCCATTGATCAGCTCCAGCCCAATCCCATCCGCCTTGGTGCTGCTGACTCCGAGCAGAACGCCGTTGAGGGCCGTGGTGCGGAACTCCAGGTCCACCTTGACATTCATGCCCACCTTGTAGCCTTCCTTAGCTGGGGAGGTACACGACAGGGAGTACCCCATCCATCAATGTGCCACTTGCTACCATTAAAGCCCCCGTGAAAGTCAGGTTTTCTGGGTCTTACCGAAAGCTGCAAATCCACTACCACCCAAGAAGGTTCCCTTCTGGACAAGAGAGAAGCACCCTGAGGTGGAATAGGACGCGATGGGGTTTTCCATGTCCAGGGGGACCCCGTTCAGGGTCACTCCTCTCACACAGCCAGCGATGCTGTGGGTCACCTGTCACAAAGTTAACCACCCACAGATGGATGTCAACGCAAGAGCGTCCCTTGTCATAAAATGAACCATCCCCAGCTGTATTTCAGTTCTGGGGGGCGGGGGTCACCTGCCAAAATTAACTCGTTTATTTAGCAAAATCAGCTCCAGCTTCCAGTGCCTGAATATCTGTGTGGAACATTCATGTCTTGTGCATATTTTTCTGCAGTTTCCTCCCACAGTCCAAAGATGTGCACTCTAAACGAGCTATAAAAATAGTGCGTGTGTGTGACTGACAGTGGTGAGCTCATTTTGTGTTCGGGTTGCTCCGAGACAGATGCAGGACCATGGCAACCCTGACTTAGAAAGAACTTACTGAAACCAGACAAAATATGGATGAAAATCAGGCTCCTTCTTTTCAGCAAGAATGCATCACAGAGAGCTGAGAGATCACTCTTACATTTCCGATGCTCTTGGCTTTGTAGTTTGATGGCAAGCCTCCCAGGTACAGTATGCCCCTCACATCCAAATTGTTGGTCTTCCCCTTGGCCTGCACTGTGGTGGACTCCTGGCCGTCAACACTGATCTTCAGACTCCTCTTCCCAAAGTCTGCTTTGATCTGTAACCAGGGGGGTTAACGCAGAGGCATGGGAAGATGTTTTGAGCTCAGAGGGCTGAAAGGTGTAACAACCAACAAAAGTTCATTGGCATCATTACTAAACACCCCTCTGACCACTGAGGTTCAAGAATTCAACAGTGTCGTGGTATAATATAATAATGTTGCCTCTGTTTTTTTTTTTTTTTTGATGAAAACTGTAGGCAATTCTACAGGTAATTCTACAGAATTACCACCAACAGCCAGAGGGGGTGCTTCACTTTCAGCGTTCTTGGGTTCATAGACATGAAAACAGCCACAAAGAGATTCAGCTGCCTTTATCTGGAATTCTTCTGGAGAAGGCCACTCACCGCGTGCCACTGGCCGTCATCGACGTGCTCGGCAAGGCTGGCGGTGGCCGCATTCCTGCCGAGGTTGCAGGTGAAGAAGAGCTGCCCCCCCCACAGCTGCAGCGTGGCGTAGTCTGTCTGGGTGGGGGCCGCCATGTGGAAGAGCAGGCCGCTGGAAGCGAAGGTGCGCAGGGAGAGCTCCAAAGAGAAGCTGTAGGGACGTTCACAATGTTACCTCCTTGGTTCTCCTGAACCACGACAATTCCTTGTTTCTCAGCACTGCGCTTGTCTTAGAATGTCTCCCGTGTGTAACTATAGATCTCTGAATGCTGCTAAAATTCTCCAGTATTGTACCTTATAAAACACCTTTTTTAGGGAATATTGATAAATTAAAATATATTCTGTGATTGACATAACTGGTACCTGAGTTCATTTTCATGATATAAAGGATGAAATGCGTGCTAATTTTTTTATGCAGTTGTGCATAAAATAAGTATGCATTTACACAGTTATGACAGGAAATTAAAGCATATTTAGATATTTATACCACAAATGCTTACTTGAGTACCAGTAATGTTAGTCCTTGAATATATTTCATATAGCCAAAGTAAAATGAATGATACTAGCCATCCATCCATCCTCCATAACTACTTATGCAGTGGAGGGCCTTTTTGTGATGATAATAATAATAATAATAATAATAATAATAATAATAATAATGTGTTCCAAACTTTCATAATTGGAGCAGGCGTGTTCCAGCATGTTCCCGACGGAAGGCGGCGAACTGACCCGGCCCGAACGGCTTGCTCGCTAATGTTGAGGGTCATGTGACTGTGCCTCAATATGCCGAACTGGTAGGCGCCGGGGATACTTTCTGTCTGATCTGCTGCGGCACACTGGTAAGGGCGACAAGAAAAGACAGAGCTGCCAACTTTGATATGGCCCTTCACTTTGATTTGGGGGGGGGGGACCCTTCTTCACAGCCCTGCTTTGATCTGGGGTGGTGGGGGGGCATCTTTTGAAGCCTCATTTAAAATTGCTCCGGACCACAGGAAGCTCTCGCCATCATGTAACACACAGCGTCTCCCTTTCACTCCCCTGGCGTTTTCCGGCGCATGGCAGTATTTCCGCCCCAGTGTATTGGGGGGGGGGGGGGGGGTGATTTATACTCATATTTGGCGATAGCTTTGCAGCAAATGCGTATAACTGGATTTTTAAGCATCATCATAAAGCCGCAGAAGAGGGTTGTCGAGTCACTGATGTAGGAAGGCTTAAGACAAAGAACTTTGACATAATTAGGATGCAATTAGAGTGAAATTGCCAACACTGGCAATGACTCAGCTGACTCTAATTACTGTGATAGAGCATGATGGAGAACTTGAGGTTGAAACCAGTCACAGCAGGCCTGGTTTTCCGAGAGACTGGAGGGCTTACTGTGGCATGGCTCAGGGTGGCTGGGGGGGAGGTGACAGAAGCAGGTGGGGTCTGGGTGGGCCCAGCCGTCGTCTCTTCCGGCAGGACCAGCATGCAGGCCATCTCTATGCCCTGATGCTGCACCGCACTGGAGAAGTTCAGGAGCCTTCGATGGAAAGAACAGAGGAGCACGAATAAGCAGCAGAATCATGACCAAACACCTCGTCAAACCAATTCCTGATATTGCATAAATGGGAGCCATCGAAATGTCAAGTTAAACTGCGAAACAGGTTGTAAAATACTCTAATTCTAGTGAATATTTCACTTATTAAAACCATGTTATTTGAATTTAATGGCTGGAAATATGGATATTGGCTGAAGTTCAGCTGCCTGAAAACAACAGCATGGTTATCTTCAGGGCCAGAAACAATACGGTCGTGATTTCTTTAACTGTTATGCCATCCCTCCACCTCAACCTCCGTCCAGAACCGAACACAGCCACAAGTGCCTTACACGGAGTCCACGGCCAAGTCGCTGATGCAGCCGTGGAAGGAGTCGAGGATCCCAAGGGCCCCAGCAGCCATCCCCGGAGGAAGCCCACCCACGTAAAAGACGGACTGGCTCAGGGTTTCATCCTCGGATGATGGGCCCAAGGTCACAGTGTCCTGACTGTCCTCATCCACAAGCAACGTCACTGTCCTGCACACAAACACACAATAGGGTGAGCTATGATAAACCCCCACAATGCATTTCTGCCGTGACATACTATCTGCCTTTGGACAGAAGTGTCATAAATAAATGTTAATTCGATGTGGTCAACAAGGCAAAGAAACAGGAAGTACATGATGTCCACTTCCTGCCAGGGTGATCTGGTGAATCTCCGTGTTTCAGCAACGGCAGCAGCTTTCACGGGATGAGATCTCTCCCACGAACCTGTTTTGCCACTGGAGGATGAGGGAGTGTTTCTGCCCATCGCTGAAGGTCCCGGTCCTCGACTGTAGCACAACCTTACGTGTGTCTCCCTCACCCGCACTCACGTGCGCCTCCAGCTGGCCGGACACCAGTGCGACAGCGAGGAAAGGCTGCGACGCAGACACAAAGAGGTGCCATTCTTCTTCCGAAGGTCATGTGATCACAGTGACGTAATAACGAAGGTTGGGGTTGCCGAAGTTATAACGTACCTGGTTGTTCTGCCAGCGCTTTCGCCGCTCGGCCTCAGTGAAGCCCGCCAGAATGAGACCATTACCACTGTGTGTGGAGAAGGTGGCCATTACTTCAGCCTGTGGGAGCAGCGTCAAGGCGGGAAGCTCCAGAAAGCCCCCCCTTCGGACTGTGACACTGTGGATAGGCTAAAGAACAGAGGGACCTGCCATTACATTGGGTAACCTAACCTACTTCACCCAGACTTTTGTTCAGGAGATGTTCTTCCCCCAAATGCAAAATAAAACAGATGGTCTACCTCTAAAACACATCCTTTTGTCACACCGTGAGCATTATCTAGCAGGTCGAAGTTCGTACGACTGATCTCCACGTCTTTGATGCATCCAGTGAATGACCTTGTACTGGGCAGCAATCTTGAAAACAGACAGATAGAAGTTTCACTGGAAGCTGCAGTGATATGTTTTAGGGGGCTTAGCAAATTCATACAGTATATACCCTCCAGTGAAGACCCCTTCTTGGTAGCCACGCTGAATATCATCTGGGAAATGGTAAATATATACAGCAGCATTGCTGTATATAGTGGGAACACTGCCAAAATGTCTTCATGAAACTAGTGAGGAACATGAAACTAAATGTAGCTCTGGTTCACTAGACACTGTGGTCTGCTTCAAACCTGTAGCCAGGACAATGCTTACAAGGCTGATCTGATTTCAGGAAGCCCGCCAATGTAGATGGGGTCATGTTCTGAGCGGTTCAGGTCAGAATCCGTGCCAAGAGACTGGCCCTCCAATTCCTCTTTATTGCTAGGGTCACTGGTGTCTATTACCGTCAGCAGACCTAAAGGAGGCAAAGATATGCATGGAGATTTGGGCTGAACGATTTGGCGGAAAATATCTAATCGCGATTTTTCTGACAGACATTGCGATTACGATTTGATTTGCGATATAATTTTTTATATCAAGCTTCAGTTCAATATTAAGTGTGTAGTAAATTTAAAACATGACACAGCATTACATGAGATACCAATAACAAGATATTAACTGGTCAATATTCTAATGCAAGGATGAGAATTTAAAGATGTGGTGTGTTAAGTTAAATAAAGTAATAATGAAAACAATTGCGGCAAAAAGAAAAACAATAGCGATCTTGCAGGTAACCCTAATTACCCCTCTAATAACACTAGAACCGCCTTTTCCCACGCCAATGAAAAAGCAAGAACTACTTTGGTGTATGCGGCCCTTTTGTCTGCACTAATGTGTTAGTGTTAATAACAGCAGCGAATCTAACACTCTCAACCAAAAAGCCGTAATGTTCATAACAGAGTGGGTGTTCTGTCCTGAAACTGCAAAGCTGGAAATTTTTAAAAGTAGTATGCATTTTAAAAAATGTTGAATAAAAATAAGTAGTTTATTGGTGATTTCATGTTGGTTTCACGTCTTTTAACAACTGCATACGGAAAACAGAAAATCTCACTCCATCCAGCTGACCAAAGTTGCCAACCCTGCGTTTTATTTTAAATGAGAAGTAAAATGCAGTTTTCGACTGAAGCAGCTTATCATTCCTCTGCTTTGTTATTCGGGCAAATACAAAACGAATGAATATTATATGCATCTCTTTTTGTATCTTTTCTAAATAATAAGACCATGTGCCCATACCCAACTGTAATAGCGATTAACGCGATCTGTTCTTTTAGTATTTATTTTAAAGCAAGACTTTTATTTTATTACTATTGTGAGATTAAGATTAATTTCACAAGATTAATATTTGGAAATACTTAAATTCATAAGCACAAAAACATATGACATAAACACAACTGTATTATGGGTTTTACGGCTTTTTTTGCTGTGAGGATTACTGACTGTCTCATTGTTCTTTTGATGGATTAGCAGTATGCTAATGCTATTGCCCATTATCACAAACAAAAGGTTTGACATGCTGAAATATGTTGCTGCTGGTGTTTAAAAAGAGGTCTCCGGTTCTAAAAGGACCTTTCTGAAACAATCTCGGACCATGAAATAGGAGGGCAATTCACTTATACTGTAGCTCAGTAGCGGAATCAGTATTTTTCCGCACCGCGAATGTAACATTTTCCTTGGGTTTCACGTGTTTGCTGTTTGTGGGCCTATACGCCTTCTTAGGCCACTTCTGATTGGTGAGCATGACTGGCACGCAAGAAGCACGGCACTTGTGATTGGTGAGAATGACTGTCACACAGGGAGCATGGCATGAAGTTGTAAAACTATTCTCACAACAGTTTTAAATCCTGGGTCCGACGTGCTGTATATAATGTATATCCTAAATCGCAGCCTTTGCGATTTGCTAATCCCGTTGATTCCGACTTGAAATTGATAAATCGTCCAGCTCTAATGGAGATGATGACATGTTTAAAGACAACATTCTCTTGGACTACCCTAAAACTCTCAGTGCTTTTCAAACTCAAGTCTACCTCAAGTTAGGGACCACCTCAAAGATATGTTTGTGAAGATCACGTTTTGTAGGGAGTATCATTCCAGGTAATGTGGCAAGGAGGACTGTGAAGAAAAGAAACAAAAACAAAAGGCGCACCGTTATGTTTATCCCTATGAAGGGTGACTTGGTGCCATTTCCCAGTGTTGTAGGGCTCGGTGGTGCTGAGGACGAGCGGCCCTTCTCCAAGCTCAATGGTCAATTGTACTCTTCCATCCACAAGCTCAATGGCCAAAAAGTCTTTCTAAAAAACGAGAGAAAGCATTATGGAAACTGGCAATACATATTGAACAGCAATATCAACAAAATGTAAGGTTTTCATGTGTAAGACTCAAACAACCATTACCACTAAAATGACAGGTTCTTTAAACTAGTAAATGCAATACAGAACGGGATCTAAAAAAACATCGTTTTTCGTGTGACAACTTGGGGACGCACCATGGTGTCAGAGGCCATGTAAATAAGCAGGCCGTTCGGAGAGAAGGTCTTGAAGTGCATGACTATGTGGGTTGCTGAAGAGCGAAGGGCTTTTTGCACCACCGCGTACGCGCTGCCGTCAAACTGAAAAGAGGCTTCTTCTTCTTCTTCTTCATGCAGACTGACACATCATACGGAGAAAGGGGACACCAGCGGTATGTTAGCGCTACAGTGCAACACATTTCTGTCAGGCGACAGGTCTTCTGCTGTTTTTAAAGGGTCACCATTGACACCAGTGCCCTGAGAGGTGTATCAACATGCACGGATCTAAGAAGCATCTTTATCGAGGCGCTGCCCACTGTTCACACCCCCGGGGCATGATTCTGGAACCCAGACATAGAGAGAACAGTGGCTTTGATAGCCTGCCTTAAGCCCTGTACTGCCCTGGACAAACTGCAGATCACTGCAATCCAAAGATATACAGCACTGTGCAAAAGTCTCAGGCAGTCAAAGGAAATGTTTGATGCTATTCATCTGAGTAGTAAATATATATTTGCTCAGAACAAAAAACACAAGTGAACCTTAGAATATATGCATATGAAGAGTAACATTATAAAAACTAACAGTAATTTCTTCTGTCCTCCAAACAGTTAGATGGTTAGATGAACACCACTTCAGTTCCCAAACCTCTGCTCAGGGGCACCTCAGCCATTCTATGTGTTTGTTACATTTTATCACAAGTTCACTCAATTAATTAATTTAAATAGTTTAAAAAGTCAGTGATTTGACTACTAGCGTACAAGGTGTGCTGGTGGTCAAATTAAAAAATAAATGGGTGTATTGGATGGTTGCCGTAAATACTGGGGTCATTTTAGGAAATGAACACATTTTGACAGACATGATAGGAACGTTTTACACCTGCATGAAGATCATTTAAGCATCATTTTCCATGACTGCCTAAGACGTTTGTACGGTTTTTCAAAACAGACACATGAAGCATCTTGCTTTGGGCACCCAGGCTTTGGGATGTTTGAGGATCGAATTTGACCGTTTAACAAATACAAACATGGTCCATGAACCTGGAGGTGATAGATGATTCCCGCTTGAGTTAGAGGGCTTCACTCTCCTATCCATACAGAAAATGACAGCGACAGACAGGCGGATGCGGATTTTTTTCCGCTAAAAGTACCTTGTGAAACAGCCCTGGCATTTCCCGTGTCTCTCCACGTAGCTCCACAGCCCGATGTTCTTGCCGTTGAGCCAGGGCTCAGCCATACAGCCACTGAAGTCAGTGGCCTCCACAGCCTCAGATTTCTGTTCAGCGGGGAACAAAAAAACAATGAGCAATGAGAACCTTCTGAATGGTGTCCCTGTCCCTCAGAGGCATTGCAGAGGCCCAGTGTACCTTGATCTGTCTGCCAAGTCCCCCGACAAATATCAGGGTGGACTCATCCACGTCCAGCACCACGGAGAGGCCAGGAGAAGAGGCCTCCACAGTGGGTCTCGGGTTCGACTGCAGGTCCCAAACGTTCAGGGAGCCACGTCGTCCGAACCTGCAGATGACGCGTGCAATGCACCGTCAAACACTGCACACACATTTTATTAACCACTTTGTATTGTTGAGTGAATACGTGTTAACCTTAATGTAGCAGGATGTCATGCGTTTATTAAGTGTATGGGTCACAACCTCATTTCTGAATGAAACACAGGTTTGTAAATAGCTAACAAATAAGACTGAAGGCTTAATTCTTTCAAATCAGGGAAATATTTAACAGTGTTTACATGCTCATGTGGAAGGAAGCCCTCCACCCAGTCAAGCAGGAAAAATCATACGGTCCTTTTTCAAAGCCCCTGTAGACTGCCAGGAGTCATTAATATGCTTCATTAATATGATCATTTGGAGAGATTAGCCACACTTAGCATTTTAGGTTTTGATGAAAATCCTGACATACCATGTAAAAATAAAAGAAGATCATTAAAATGTGGCTAAATGTTAAATTCTGACCTTCTCGCATGTATCCGGTACCACCTGTCGTTGTCAATTTGGAGGTCAGGATACTCCAGTTTACCATGTCCAGAGCCCACATCCCAGAGGAAGGAGACCATCCCACCGAGCGTCTCCACGGCCAGGAAGTCATCCTGGGTAACATGTCACTCTCAGTTTGCTACGACTGCATCTGTCTGCAGCAGCGGCACACGTACATTCTGCAATTTCTCATTCACATGGCGAATGCTGAAAGCCGGCCAGAGTTGTATTGATTCGGGAAACGGACCTCAGAATTGTGAACCATTTAGGAAAATCGACACCGTTTACTGCAAGTTTAAACCATATTTCTTTCTTGGTAGGGAGCTAGTCGTTTTAAAGGGATCACAGCTATCAAGTTAAAGAAGATTTGATCCAGGACTGACTATAGAATTAGCACGTACATTGTCGTGGGGGGAGGGCTGGAGCCTAACCCAGGCAACACAGGGCACAATATGGGGGTACAGCCTGGGGGGCTTACTAGTCCATTACCAGGTCCACAGATGCACACACTACAGACAACTTGGAGACAAAAGTTAGCAAAACTGTATGTGTTTGTACTGTGAGAGGAAATCCACACAACATGGGGAGAACATGCAAATTGTACATTACAGGTAGTGTGGGATGGAATTTGAACCACCATCCATGGAACCTTATTTGTTCTCCCTTTTATGAAAATTAAATATTAAAGGATGCCAACAGTTCATGTTGCTTGTCTGAGACCTGGCAAACACCCGCCTCACCACCAGACCACTGGCTCTTTGTTGACACACACTGCAATCTCTGCACCAGTCAGAGATTAAGCAGCAGCCCTAACATTTTCCTCACTCACACTGGAGTTGCTGCCCATGTAGAAGAGAAGGTTGTCTGCCTCACTGGTCTTCACGGTCAGGGTCAGGGTGTTCAGGTTGCTGGAGGACAGCTCAGGCTTGTAGGCGCGCACGCAGTCTTGGTCTGCCAACACGGCCACTTTAATCTGCACAAGGAAAGGCAGGGGACTGCTGCATTGTGGGAAGGCCAACATTTCCCATGTCAAGTCCCAGGTGAGTTTCAGCTGTTTGTTTAAATGCCCAATTTACAGGATGACTAATTTGAAATATTTTGTGGCAATATTATAAAATAAGAAAAATAATAACAGCAGCAAGACACAACCAAGAGCTATGGATTTGAAGGTGGCAAGAATCTATCTGGTTATTTATACAAATTCTACACTACTGGTAATTAAATCACAAGTATATATATGACTCTGAACCATTCTCACTACTGAAGTATGGTCTCCGAAGGTCAGAGTTAGGCCTACACCAAGGGTCAGGAGATGGCTCACATGTAACTACAGCCGTTGATCCAGTTACCAAATGGAAAGTTTCATGCTTGTGTTTTTTTGTTTCATGTTTCACAAAAACTTTCGCTAATCTTAACACTAAACAACATTTTGGCCGAGGCTTTAAATCCTGCAGGTTCAAGACCCAGGATGGGTTCTTTGTAATATTTGATGGGACTCACTCGATAGTGAAACTGTCCAACTGTAAACTTTGAAGATGGCTGAGAATTCATTTGTTTTTTCAGGGGTGTGGGAGTAGGGGGGGGGTTACACTGACCGAGCTGGCCTGCTTGCGTGCCTGCTTGATTAATTCTCGGATTTCAGACAGGTTCCGGCTCAGATGCTCGCCCAGGGTCCTGAGGGGCCCGAGGCGATCCGAAAGATGCTGAACCCGGGCCTCCACCTCCCCAAACACAGACTCCATGGCCTTCACTTTGAGAAGATGAGACTCTTAGCATGAACAGCATCCATGACACGTCAGCCCATAGACGAGGTAGAGCTACCCGGCTCACCAGCCTCTTGGGAAATGCTGAGCAAGCTTTCTGTGGCCTCTGTGTCCTTATTGACCTGAGCTGCCAAGATGGAGGACTCCTCCAGCTTCTGGCTGAGGTTCTGGAGCAGCTGCAGCGTGGACTGCAGGGAGGCATTAGCCATAGACACCAGCTCCTTGGACTCAAGGATCTTTTGACTGGTCGCTAGGGAGACAGCAGATCAGTAGAGAGTGCAACTAGGGTGAGAACCCCTTAACCAAAAAGTTTACATCCCATTAGAAGTAGCACACATGATGACCGGTGTATTGCATGAATAACCTCAAATGCCATACTATATACTATGGTATTTTTAAAAGTGGTTTCTAATTCTGTATCTAAACATAATACTCTTTGAACCGTGGACAACATTATTAAAGATGGGGTCATATCCCCTTGGGACTGAGATTACAAAGTCATCATCCAGATGACTCCATTGATCCTCAAGGGAAAATTAAGGTAAACAGGCAGTACTTAAACCTGAAAGCTCCATTTGGACACGGAGCCAACACCAGAACTCAGACTTGTACCCAGTGAGCCATAGTGATCACAGGTTATACAGCCTCCTGTCCTGGCATGTGCCTTTCCGGCATCCATTCACTCTGATCACATTGAAGGTGCTCAGTAATGGCTCCTCTCGAGGGTACCATGGATACATACTCTTAGCCTCGCTGATGGTCAAGGACTTGGGCAGCTGGCTGGGGATGCTGTGGATCCGTTCTCGGATTGAGTTGAGCTCCTGACTCCTTTCAGTGACATTCATAGAGAGGTCTAGGCAGAAAACAGGTTTGTACGTTGGACCACTGAGCTTTTACCAACATGGTCAATTCAGGTTCAAAGGTACAACAGCAAGACTGATAATGGAGCCTCTATACTTCTGGTCCATGTCCTTAACAGTCATGCCATCAGGCTACCATTAGTCAAGCAACATTCATCATGACACCATGTCCCACGACTCACCGACAACAGGACTGTTGAGTGCCGCACCCTCTGCCCAGATCATGTGACTGTGCTGCATAGCCTCAACGCTCTGGTTTCTCACAGAGTCGTCCACTACGGGAGCCTGGAAAACGATGATGTCGTAAATAAACCACCTTCCCCAACGGTGGTGTACCACAGAGAACAAACTTCCACAAAACGTAGGATGGTGAAAAACACATCCTAGGGTAGGCAAAATTAGTCAGTATGTCAGCTTAAGAACAGATAAGTAATTGGAATCGATGTGTGCAATATCATTTTTGTTGCTAGACTAAACTATGATAAATCGAAGATCATCCAGATGAAGTAACACTCCTCCTACACTCCAGCCTGCTAATCAACTTACTGTTTTTCCCACTCCCACTTGCTCCTGTGGGATGACTGGACACAGCAGAGATAAGTTCACTTAATTAGAACCGTTCATCCCCCACAGGTCTAGGAGATGGGGGCTGCATTCCAAAGCAAATGCTCTCTATGCATGGTCATCCTCCACTTGAGTATCGCTGATTCCCAGCCTCTCTTATTTGTGTGTTGAGTTGGGCATTTCTCCTTGTATTTGCATGCACTTATTAGATGTTCTCAGTTTTCCTCATACAGTATAAAGGCACTCTGGTAACACTTCACACTAACTGCACCTTCATAATGCATTCATTATGCATTCATAGAACATTAAGTGCACCTTCATAAAGGTACAGTTACTGTAAAGCATTACCAGCACTTTAAATGAATGGATTCAGTCTCTGAATTATCCACACGGGATGAGTGTGTACGCTGTAATGGACTTGGGGCCATCCTGGGATACACTCAGCATCACGGAGATCCTGCCCCAGACAAGCAGCTATACAAGATGGTCTGTGGGAGACTGCAGAAAAGAAAGGTGGTGGCTCACCATCATGTCGGCCAGCTCTGCCAAGTACTCTGCTTCCTGAATGTCCAGGAAGATTTTGAAGTTAACAAAGAGGGCGTTGATTGCTTTCAGGGAAGAATTCTTTGCGGCCAGTATAACTCTGGAATGAATGAATGTGTTAACACGTTACAGCGACTGGCTATGCTTTTTAAAATGTTTATATTACACTAAATATTCATTGTTTGTTTACTTTTCAGTTCCATTTTGGTTGATGATCAAGTATGTTCATTGAAAAACATAAATGAATGAAAAAGTCAATCCAGTGCTGTTATTGATCAAATAATAAAACCCCGGAGCGTATGATCTGGGGATGGAGCACATACGTGTGCAGCACGAGGGCCTTGTCCTGCAGCAGCTGTGTGTGATCCTCCACTTCAGACATCAATTCTGAAACATTCTCCAAGCGAGTCCCCAGTGTGTCCACTCGCTCTTTTAAAGCTGTGCTCTCAGCCCCGAGCTGACCGTGGATGTCCGAAAGCTGCCAGGACACACCAGCACCAGAACTTACCGGTAAATACTATCCCAGTTCAGCTACTGCCTCAAGGGGAACTGAAGCATTTATACAGCAAAACCCCATAATAAACCTCAATACCTCAAGTAACCTGCACCCTGAAGGGGCAACCCCATGCAGGGAACCTGCTCTCAGACCCACATTTAAGGTACATAAGGAGTATATATCAAGCTATGTAAAAATGTAAAAGCCCCCCCCCCCCACAGTTCAAGGACATCAGTTGGTGTCTCTAAAGTGAGTGTGTTTATGTGTGTGTGTGTGTGACCTTAGATGGAGATTAGACTGGACATGTGGTTTGGATTGCACAGTAATATGCCATAACTTCGACTTTTTGACTTAGTGATAATTATTTTCTTTTTTAAGCATCTACATTTGCACGACAGGCCCAACTTACAACTGGAGCAGTGCCTGTATTGTCCAACGTGTTGTTAATATCAGCTAGGAGATCCCAGGCCTCCACCAGCTGCATCTTGGCCGCCTCTACCAGGACGCCAACGCTCTGTTTCCGCTCCTGACATCGGGAGAGACACGATTAAACACAGTGTGAAGGCTGGCGCTCACTTGCAATCCAGTGAGGTGCTGCACGCTGATACAATATGCAGAGCCTAAATGACAAAGGAAAGGAGCTTCTGTAGGCCAAAAGCCGGACCTTAAGCCTCCAGCGAATACAAATCAGGAGGGAGCAGCTATGAAATCGCACTGGTATGAGTGTGAACTGATAAACAAATCAGCACCACAATAGGAACTGGAGAGACGGAGAGCGTGGGACAGAAGACTGACATGGAACTTGTCCAGGTTGGCAGGGGCGGGGACCAGCAGCCGGAGGGTGTGGCTTATCTTGGAGCGGATAAGCAGCAGCTGCTCCTGTGCGCTCTGCAGCTGTACATCCTTCTGTGATAGTTTGAAGCTGACCGACTTGACCAGTGCTTCCATTTCCTGCCAGGGTGTGTGGAAATCCCTCTGAACCATCCAATGGAGCCCAATTGCGGCCCTGCGCAGGGTTCAGACACATTTTTTTAGATGGGTTGCTACGTTTCTCTTTGGCCTGGACACTGCTCATGCAATATTCTTCTCGCAGTGCATTTCACCATCTGTACGGGCTGGCCGTCGGACATCCAGATACGGAACCTTGAAACTGACCCGAGTGCGTCGGAGGCCGTGGTCCGGCCAGGGCTCATGTTGACCTGGCTCATGGCCCCCAGCATGGGTGGTATCAGCTCCATCAGCTGGGTGGTGTTGACATCTTGCAGGGTTTTGTTCAGACTGCTGACTGTTTCCTCTAAAGCTGATGCACACAGTAATATTTTGGTGCACTTAGCTTCTGCCACAGCTGACACATGTGCAGACGCGTGTGCTTTAACCCTACAAAAAACTTTCCTGCTTATAGTCATTCTGTCTGCACTGCTCATTGCAACCTAGAGTGCACCAAGCTCCATCACCTGGCACAAAATGGCTGCCTAACAAGTAATGTTCTTGCTTGTTTACATTTAACTGTTATTCCAGTTTGTTACATCAAGATTTTAACTGATTTCAGATTGATTTATAATTTGCAGTTTAGTATATCAGAACAATTCTGCTGCGCACACTTTACAGTTGTGTTCAAAATAATAGCAGTCCGACATGACTAACCTGATCAATCACCGTTTTTGGTAGAAATTATATTACTACATGGCAAATAATTTACTAGTAGGTGTAGCAGAGTAATGGAAAACCAACAGACCCAACAGTCATGACATGAATGCTGCTGATTATGTGTAACAGAATCATTACCTGAAAGGGGTGTGTTCAAAATAATAGCAGTGTGAAGTTCAATTTGTGAGGTCATTCATTCTGTGAAAAAGTAGGTGCCAATTATGGGCCTTATTTAAGGAAGGAAGGCAGCAAATGTTGTACATGCTGGTTATAGTGCATTTCTCTCTGAAATTCTGAGTAAAATGGGTCATTCCAGACTGAAGAACAGCGTACCTTGATTTAAAAGTTGATTGGGGAAAACATATAAAGAAGTGCAGAAAATAATAGGCTGCTCAGCTAAAATGATTGCAAATGCTTTAAAACGGCAACCAAAATCTAAAAGACGTGGAAGAAAACGAAAAACTATCATTCGAATGGATCGAAGAATAGCCAAAATGGCAAAGACTCAGGCAATGATCAGCTCCAGGAAAATCAAAGAAGGTCTAAAGTTACCTGTGAGTTCTGTTACAATCAGATGATGCCTATATGAAGCCAAACTATCTGCAAAAAGCCCCCGCAAAGTCCCACTGCTGAAAAAAAGACACGTGCTGAAGAGGTTTCAATTTGCCAAAGAACACATTGACTGGCCTAAAGAGAAACGCTGCAACATTTTGTGGACAGATGGAAGCAAGACTGTTCTTTTTGGGTCTAGGGGCCCCAGACAGTTTGTCAAATGACCCTCAAACACTGAATTCAAGCCACAGTACACTGTGAAGACAGTGAAGCATGGTGGTGCAAGCATCATGATATGGGGATGTTTCTCATACTACGGTGGCGGGCCTATTTATCGCATACCAGGGATCACGGATCAGTTTGAATACCTCAAAATACTTAAAGAGGTCATGTTGCCTTATGCTGAAGAGGAAATGCCCTTGAAATGGGTATTTCAACAAGAAAACGACCCTGAACACATGAGCAACATCTTGGTTCCAGACCAACAGGATTGACTTTATGGAGTGGCCAGCCCAATCCCCGGACCTTAATCCAATAGAAAACTTGTGGGGTGACATCAAAAATGCAGTTTCTGAGGCAAAACCAAGAAATGTAGTCCAATCAGGCTGGAATGCCTGTTCACAGGTGTCAGAAGTTGGTCGACTCCATACAACACAGATGTACAGCATTTATCAGAAACAGTGGTTATACAATTAAATATTAGTTCAGTGATTCAAAGGAAAGTAAAATCTTAAAACATTTTTCAGTTCATAGTGTGAATCTTTGAGTTTGTAAAGAAGAATGTGGACACTGCTATTTTTTTGAACAGCCTAATATTCCCTTTCCTTCACTTTCTGTAAAGGAGTAACACAAATGTGATGAATTTCTCTTCTTGTTTTGATGTGGAATAGAATGTGTAGTGTTCCCGACGCATTTGCATGTGTGGAAATAAAAACTATTATAAAGATTTTCAGCTTTATTCACTTTTTTAGACACACTGCTATTATTCTGAACACAACTGTATATCCAGAGTGTGTTTTCTGGGCGTACTGACAAATGATTTCTTTTTGATTATTGCGCTCCTAAAATTACACAATGTATATGTACAACTCTAATTAGAAGGTTTTTGGAATACAGGAAGATTACTGGAGGGAGGTTTGAGAGTAAGTACTGTGAAAAGGTACCACAACTTTCCGAGTGGATGTTAGCAACCAGCGCCAGTAGTTCTTGGCTCATGGTCAGCGTCTGTTTGGTGTCCTCATCCAGAACGTCTCCTTCATCCAAGAGCTTGTTTGCCTAACAAAAGAGGCAAACGGTGGGTATAGGTCGAATGAGTGGCCCTTATTTCATGAGGCTGCAATGGTCTCAGAGTGAGAAGCAGGCCTGGTGGCTCACCTTCATCTGCAGTGCTGAAATGTCTTTGGAAAGTTCTGTCAGCTGCTGTTGGGCTTGGAGTGACAAACTGATTGGGAGCGTCTCAGGAGACAGGAGGGTCTGCGTGTGGAAAGGCAAAGTAAAACTGGCCCTGAGAACACATAACAGAATCCGGGGGCAGATACATGCTTCTCATGTAGGAAGTAGTGCTTATGAAGTTGAGTGTTCAGATGGCCATGTGCTACTAGTGTCCCTGTGGTGAAACACAAAAACACCACAGCGGCCAGAGCTGTAGCTACAAAGGCATTCCTGCAAGACACAAAGCCAAATATGAGGAGCACCCGACCTTCAGCTCTTCTGTGCTGCTCTCCATGGACCACAGAAGGCTGTATGGGACTAGGACCTGGTTAGCAGCCTTCACTGACTGATCCAATCCTTCAGATTCGTCCAGGATCACTCCGGTACACTCATCATCACATGCTGCAGATGGAGAGGCATGCACGTTCATCATCACGTCCAGCCAGAATGACTTTAGCACAGTGTTTCCCAACCCGGTCCTCGGAGACCCACAGGCAGTCACACTAGCAGCTAGGGAGGAGAAAAAATGTGGACTGGCTGTGGGTCCCCAAGGACTGGACTGGGAACCACCTCTTTAACATCTTTCTTTGGAAGGGAAACGTGCCACACACTCACAGACACACCTCTCTCACATTGTCCTGTTCTGTGAAGTGAGGAAATTTTGCAAATTCATTGGCTAAATTCAAGACAGAAATGTCTGAATGTGCAGATTTCAAGGGGGATATTGGATTTTGTTACATGTATAGCAACCACAGAACTAAAGAAAACTTTCTGGCCCCTGTACTTGGCTCTTTCAAAAGCATCACTCTCAGATGACAGAGAGGCTTAGCCGTGCTGGAACGCAAACTGCCTTTGGAGTTACATAACTCCACAGATATATTACATAAAGCATAAAATTCTGAATGGGAATTTAAGAGTTAATTTGCTGATATATAATGAACGTTAAATTATCTTGGGTGTTGTTTCCCAATCTGGTGCTCGTGCACCCACAGTCGGAACATGGTTCTCCTCCCTCCGGAAGGGAGCTGGGAGGGAGCAAAAACGTTGACTGTCCGTGGATTCTGGAAGACCCGATTGGGAAACACCGATGTAGGGAAAAGGTCTCCAGCCTTTTTTGCAGTGACCACTGATCCAGAGGGTGGTTAAATAAAACACGAGAGAGGAAGTGCAAGTTGACTGGCCTTATGAGTGGTGGACGGGGGCTGTCAGTGGCAGCGGGAGTCTCTACGGCACTCACCGATACACCGCTCCCCGGACAGGGCGTGTCTTTCCTCGCACTCGTCGCAGCGGAGCCCGCGGATGCCCGGCCTGCACTCGCACTGCGCCGTCAGCTGGTGGCAGCGGTGGTGCAGGGCCCCGCTGGAACTGCACTGGCATGGCTCACAGCGGCCGTCAGCCTCGGTGGGGGTCCCCGTGTAACCTGGGGAACACCTGCACACACACTGAACATGGACCACCTGGAAGGGGGGGGGGGCTTTTTAAGCTACACACCACCCAATTGCAAAGCCTGCTCTTCGCTGTAAGATTATACATTTAGTGTGACGGAGGGTAACTCACCCTGGTCATATTTCACCCCCCCCCCCCCATTACAATCCTCACAATACCGCTCATGTAGCTCAGCAAGTGCAATATTGCAAAGTTTTGGAAACAATGCAAAGGTCTTGGGTTTAAATCCCAGGGAGCCCACATAGTGGGCATGAAGATGAGTAAGCAAAATGTAAATACTGGGTAAGGTAAAGCCTTTTAATCAGTCTTTGAATGAGGCTAGCGTTATTGGATTCCATCAGCACCAGGAGGTCTTTAGCGACCACAGAGGGTGAGGACCTCACGACCCCAAAGGCCATTGCTCTGTTCTGAATCACAAAACAGCAATGAAGAATGTTAGTTATGTAACAGCGCCCCCTACGTTCCAGCTTATATATATATATATATATCCATATATAGACGCATACATACACAATACTGAGCAAAAGTTGACATGCATTCTTTGTCTCGACCACTACCCCCCCTTTTTGGCTAAGTAATACCTCATTGACTTTTTAAAACTTACTTTCTTACTTGCTTCATTATTAATTAATTAGATAATTTGGATGTGAAATGTCACAAACATATGGACTGGCTGGGGTGCCCCTAAGGAGAGGTTTCGGAACCAAAGCGGTGTTCATCTAGCCGTCCACCAGTAACTTTTTGGAGAATGGAGGAAATTCTTATTAGCTGTTGTTGTGTTTCTCATAGTTTGCACATGTTCTAAAGTTAAGTTGTGTTTCTTGTTCTGAGCACATATACACTTGATATGAGCAGCTTTAAAGATTCTGCATGGTGCTGTATATACATCTGGACCCTGATGCAGGTCTAACTTGGCTTTTCCTTGCTTGCCAAGGTTCGAAGGATATAGCGTTGCGGCGTTCTCACCGTTCACAGTACTGCCCCTTGTAGCCTTTTTCACAAGCATCGCAGCGATAGTCATTCATGCCTTCCAGATGACAGGTGGGGCTAAAGCTGCAACAGATGAGGTGGAGGAACTAAGCACACAGTAGCAGGAGCGGAGTCACGTAAGCACGCCCCCACATGTAAGCCTGTTGACGGATCTATTGTTCCCACCCACGCAAATACTTAGGCTGCTGAAACTTTTCTGCCATCTGCTGGAGAAATGAAGCTAATGCTCGGGCAGTGCTAGATGGAAGTGTGTGAAGGGAGTGTACCTCTTTTTATTTCCAGGAGGACAGGAACACATGGAGCAATCACTGACAGAGCCCTCCACTTTCCCATAATACCCTGGGGCACAGAGTTCGCAGTGGTCCCCTATGGTATTGTGCTGACAGTCCTTGTCAAGAGAAAAATGTTATCGTTAAAGCTGCAAAATAAGCAATGCTTGCTATTATTACCTAATTAATGTGCACTAGTGGCCAAAATTGTGGAAACACCTAGCATTTTTGGCATTACGCTATAAAAATTACTACACTGGCGGTAATGTTACAAATATCTTACATTGGACGATTAAATAAGTAACTGGAGTAACTGGAATAAAGTTCTGCAATCTCTAAAAACTGGAAGTGTTTCCACAATTTTGGTCACTAATGTAAAAGGTGTGAGCTGGGCACAAACAGCATTTCAGGTGAGATCCAGTGATGGGCGAGGTGGGGACAAACAGCATTTCAGGTGAGATCCAGTGATGGGCGAGGTGGGGACAGGACGAGAGGTATACCTGGCAGATTCCAGTGAGCACATCGCAGGCCAAGCTGTGGTTGTTGCACTGGCAGGGGAGGCAGGGCTGGACAGACAGATCCTCGCTTCCAGGGCTCAGTGCTGATTTGGCCTTTCTGAAGTAGCCGGGGGCACAATCCTGACACCCCAGGTGGGGAAGATGGCACATGGTCAAGGTGGCACCAGACAGTTAAAGCAATGAAGGAGGAACTGGGTTTAGCACTCGGGCTTTGAACTGGCCCACAGAACACAGTATGACTCAAAGCTTCATCTAAACTTGATATCACAGAATCCATAGTGTGTAGCATTTAGATGTCAGGTCAGTATCCATTTGTTTGCACACACAGTTTAGGGTAAAGGGTGGCACTTCACACCTGGCAGGAGAGTCCAGCATACCCTGATGGACACCTGCACTTCTCGATGAATCGAGCCACCTCCCCGCCCATCGGACCTTCCCCAGCCTCCACCGCGGTCTCCATAGAGAAGTTAGTCAGCCTGGAACACACGAGCACCAACGGTGAGGATCGCCTAGCCATCAGATATATGGTGACAGAGACACAGGAAACAAACACGCTCCAACCTGTTCCAATTCGTTTCGCTGCTTTGTGAGGCTTTGACTAAGATGAATTCCACATTGCCCAGGACGGACATGAAGTCTGCACGCGTGACGCCGTGGCTGGAGCCGAAATACTTCCACTTGTGCTGCCGAGAGAGTTTAGGGAAAGTTGTAATGAAGTTTCCCGCAGAGACACAGTTCAAGTTTGCCTTGGTCCTAATTAACAAACACAATCTGACAGAATCCTCAGACCACCCTTTCCCACGTCGGCAACACCGTCCTGTAGGAACTATCCCAGCTGATCCCATGTTATCTTGTTAAATAACATAATTTCTCCCCGTTGGTCTCAAAATGCTCACCTCTGTCATCCAGATCTCGTGTTCGGTCTTCATCCTGCTATCCAGAACGGGAACGTCCAGGTAGATGACCGCTTTATTTTGGTGTCCTCCCCCCATGAGGACTTGGGGTGTGTCGCCCAGGGCGTGGAAGGTCACGGCATAGCGGAGCTTACCTCCATAAGACATCAGCTATTCATAAAGAAAAAAGCATCAACCCTCCATTCTTATACATGCCAAGATGTGGCTTAAAATTGGGTTCAGGGAATCACCATTCTTCACGTCCATTAATGTCCTGATGCCACGTCAAGGGAAGCCGTCATTTTAAGATATTACCACTTAGCGGCAGGACACTCCTGCCCTGTTATGCTAGTTAAAATAAATAAATCAAAGCCTTATTACACTGGATAATCTCAAACAACCATAAAAATCCCTAGTAAAGATAAATGATATGCATTTAAATATTGACACTAACAGATAAGTTACCGTAGGAGGGAGTTTATATGACTGTTCCTAAATTAGTGACCAGCATTACCTTGTTTCCCTTGAATTTGGGGGGGAGCTGCCAGTAGTAAGGACCAGTGTGCCACCAGGAGCTCTGGGCCGGGCTGGGGTCCAGACCTACAATGTTCTCATCGGAGACGACGCTGTCCATAGCGCCTATCCCATCCTTTTTGCTGACCATGGCCAGCTGGTCGGACTCGCCCAGCGTGATCTAGGTTTGGAGAACGAAACCCAGGGCAGGCGGGATAACCATCTGAACTCATATCCCGGTTTTCCTGCAGAAGTTCAAGCAGTGCTTGGACGGTGAGCAGTAATCCTGCTCACTCTGGGATTGGAAGCCTTGCTTGCTCCCGATGGCATCGCGTACATTGTCCAGTATTCCTTGGCTGCTGTAAATTGGCTTGTATTTCCAACTTCCTTGTTCAAACAGCAACAAAACATGCACGCCGCCTTCCGCAAACACCAGCTACCCACAGACGCGTGCAAACACACCTACGCTTCCCCAACAGATCCTGTATAGTGGAGCACGGGCTGTGACAAACGCACGCGGCCTTGGCCCTGCCTCGCTGTCGGCCTGCAGCAAATGGGTGTCCCATGGAACCCGGGCTACGGCAGCTGTTTGTTCTTCCCGTTACTTCTCTGTCGGATCCAATTAAATGCAAGCTAACTGGGGCATTAATTGAACTTCCAAGGCTAATAAGGATCCACTTATTTCGATGTTCCTAATCACCACATCATCTCTGCACAATGTGTGGGGAGTAGTGAGCTCAGCTTAGGGTAGATATTCTATATCCTGCACCTAATGATGTCACTTCCTGTTTATTCAAACCAGTGAATCCCAATCCGGTCCTCAAGGCCCCCTTGAAGGTCCACATTTTTGCTCCCTCACAGCTCCCGGTAACGTGGACTGTCTGGGGGTCCCCGAGTCCCAGATTGGGAAACACTGACTTAAACCATTTTCTGCGTTAGGACATACATACCTTGTTTAAAATACTTAAGTACAAACAAATTCAGTTTAAGAGTGTTTGATTGATGCCCATTGCCATGGTTCCCCGCGGTCTACGAGCATTCGGACGGCGCTGCTTACGGAAGCTCTGAGCAGATTGGTGGCCTCCACGCAGTCTGAGGAGACCCCAGAGCAGAAGCAAGGACTGCAGCCCTCGGGGAGCGCCGCCGCCAATCCGAAGGCCCCCCGCTTGCACTTGTTACAGGAGACACCGTGCACATTGTCCTGGCAGACCAGAGAGGGCAGGGGGGAGGACATGCCGTCACAGGTGTGGGTCTCCGACGTGACCTCATCACGACCCCTTCGGCTGATTAATGGCACTTGGGATCAGAAGGCTGCTGCCTTTTTCACAAAGGCAGATCTGAGCATGCGAGCAAAGCATGTTAACTTGAAGCGCTCAGTGTAAAATCGTGAGCTTCTTTCCGACGCACTGCATTTGGCTTGAAATCAAACTGTGAAACCAAAGAGGATTGTGGGATATTTAAGCTGCCGGAACGAGGCCGGTTTTGTAGCATCACTTACAGATAGTCCAAATTCCAAATGTCCTTATAATAGCCAGGACCCCATTATGTAATAACATTACAGAAAGCCAATCAGTTAAACAGGGGACGTTGACCATCCGTCACACAGCCAGAGACCGGCTGACCGTAGCCACGTCTGGGCAACTATATCTGTACCTTGCAGACACAGATGCCGCGGTCGCGGCAGATGCAGGCAGCCATGTCCTTATTGCAGAATTCCTCCCGCGTGCCGCGCATGTTGCACCTGCAGGGGGCACACTTCGGGTAGCCGCTGAAACCTGGGGCGCACCGGTCGCACCTGGGCCCATCGAAGCCACGCCGGCACAGGCACTGGCCGCTAGAAAGGTCGCAGTGGGGCATCAGGGCGCCGACGGCACTGCAGTCACATGGCTGGGGAGGAGCACAGCGAGCAAGTCAGGTGGGATGAATTAGTACCATTTGCTGTGTCACGCGCTACACTGAGAGCCACCTTTCTACAGGGATTGGCGATGCTAGCAAACACTGACTCTAAGGCTTCCCACAGCCGGATGTCTCTTGGGGGTGGACCAGCCCCCACACACCCCCACAGCAGACACTGTTGAGCTTGGAAACCCGACTGCATGCACAGTTTGGCACAACCAAATTTGGTTTGGCACAACCAAATCGGCAACCCTAGCCCCTGCTCTTAGACCTCCAACAAACAGCACATATATCCATTCCAACATCCTTCTCCTTTATCTCTGCTGATCTAAGTGGGCTGAACAAGTCAAATAAAGTAGGGATCACATCTGGATTCACTTGGCCGGCCTGTACCGAAGCTCAGTGTACCTATACCTGTCACTCCATTTAACACCACAATGGTTAAGAACACTCAGCCTCCTGCAAAAGATCATTTTTTATCATTATAGTTTTTTCTGGCTTTGAAAATCTGAACCGCAAGCCAGTTTAAATTTAGTGTCTAAAACCCGTTGTGACCAGAAAAACAGGACACCCCTTCGTGAAATTTCATAGCTGTCAATCGTAAGATAGGCCACCCCTTGCAAGTACAGCAATGTGGGGGTTTCACAGCTGTCAATCAATGTACACAGCCAATGACAACGCAGGCAATGTTTCATAACTGAGACCTAGGGGGGATTTCCACAAAGCAGGATGTCTCAGTTAGCTGGGTTAATTTAAGCTAGAAGAAAAATCCTGCTTCATGGAACGCCCTCCAGGTTTACTAATGAAACTTTCTCTGTATTATTTTTTGTATAGCAAGCATGTGACTTAACTGTAATGATCTGGATGGCCTCAGCCTACATATGGAAGAGTATCTTATGTGATAGAAGATGCTGAATTGTTAAAGGGTGACAAGTGCTCATAGACAGATCGTATCCCCTCTGAGGTTACCTTGCAACCCGTCTCCAAGCTGTGGTCCCAGTGAAGATCCTCACACAGTCCGCACGCCTGCCCCCGTGTGTTGGGTGGACAGACGCACTGCCCTGTGTCCGGCAGGCAGTGGCCATGCGTGTGTGCGCAGATGCACTCTGGTCGGCGAGAGAGACGTCAGTAGTGAGGTGTGATGATGATGTGGATGTCAGAACGGGGGGGTGGTTATGGGGACCGAGGACATGCGAGACTCACCTTTGCAGCCGGTTTCCACGGTCCCATAGTGGTTGGGGGCACAGTGATCGCACTTGACCCCTGCCACGCCCTGGATGCAGAGGCACGCTCCTTCTCTGTTGCAGCGGTCAGACAGCGACCCCACCTGGCTGCAGTTACACGTCACACAGCCCGTCCCGCTGAGCAGGCTGTAGTATCCTACCTTAAACACACACATCAATTTCAGATTCTCCTTCCATCCTTCCGCCATCAATTGCAACCCCCCCCCCTCCCCCAATGCCAGGTTCTCTTCAGTGTGGACTTCACTACTCTGGTGAGGAAGACACAGAAATGCCACCAAAGTCAAGGGCACACACACAAATTGGGGTGTAATTAAATCTGTGAGTCAATGTCACGTTGGCGGTCGTCGGGCGGGGCTCTATCTGCACGCCGCCAAAATGGCGACACGGAGGGGCCACATGCTGCCAAATCCGCAATGTTTCGGAAACTTTTGGGAGCCCAGGAGAGAACCCTGGGAGGGCAGGGCCACTTATCAAGGCGACGCCAGCCTGGAAATCCTGTCCAGCCTGCTGGCACCGTGAGGCAGCATTGCCCCGACTACCCAGCATTTATAAATGCCATTTTGGGCACGTATGATAAGGTTCCCGGGCCAGCATGTGAAATGAGCTGGCCGGCGGTTAGGCGAGGGCTTGGCGGGGGTCCGCCACGGCCCACCGAGGCCTGGAGTCGCCCGTATCCTCACATCTGGACTTCGGCCTGACGAACATCTGCTCTTCGCCCACTGGCGCTCCTTCCCTCCAAAGCGCCACAGACAGACAGCCCCCCGCTCTAACTAATCAGTCATTTCCCCCTCTGCCCGAGTGTGAAAAGACAATCTGATATGCATAATGAATTATGAAAACATTCGCCTGCGGTCCCGGACCACCTGGAGCCTGCTGGAGCGAAGAGAAGAAACCTGGCTCCCCCCGCCCGTGCCAGCTTTTTTGCCCCAGTTCTGAATCCGGGAAGGATTGGGGGGAGGTAGCAACAGAGCACAACACAAATATTAAAATGGTGAGGGGAACGCAGGGTTGACAGCTCTCAGGAATCTGGCGTGACACTCATTGTTTCAGACTCTCACGCTCACGCAAGAAATCTTACGGCAAATTTATATTATTCCATTATAAACATAAACTTACCTACATCAAAAGCAGTAGTCTGCAAACCATACAGACTATTTACAAGGTAACAGAAGTGTTACATACGTGTAGATGCAGGGTTGTCAACTTTGGTCAGCTGCCTGGCGTGATATTTTCAATTTGAAAAGTCTGAACACGCATTTACAAGTATGTAAGAGTTTTTTTTTTTTTTTTTTACCTTGTTAATAGTCTGTAGGGTTTGCAAACTACCCCAAAGCTTTTGTTGTAGCTAGTTTTAGGTTTATAATGGAATAATATCGATTTACCGTGGGATTTCTTGCGTGAGTTTGAAAGTCAGAAAGCGTGAGAGCTGGCAACCCCGTAACTGGGTGTGCATATGTTTGCAGCCCTGGGGGGCGGAGGGGTGGACACGGTCAGCAGGGTGAGCTGTCCCGTACCTCGCACCGGTTGCACTTCCGTCCCGCTACGTTGGGCTTGCAGGCGCACTGTCCCGTTGTCAGGTCGCAGACGCCGGAGTAGGAGCCGTTTACATGGCACCCACACGCTAGATAGACACAAACACACAAGCCGAAGAGCATTGGGTAACAGCGCCTTATTATCCCCCAGGGAAGCGTCGGTTGCTCCATGAGACATCGAGAAAGTTATTTTAATGAGCTACAAAAAAGATAGTTGATAACGACAGGCTCTGTTAGTAACGCGGCAGGATGCTTCATCGCGGCTGCTCTCGCCAGAAGTGCACTCAAAACCGCCGGCACTCCGAAAGCTATTCAAAATGCACCTGTAAGTTTGTTACCAAAGCTTATCCAACATGGGAATAATACATAAATAACTGCTTGACAATTACAGCAGTGTGCCATGTTTCAAATATTAATTTTCTAAGGCTTCGATTTGATTCTCAGTATGCTGGTAGACAGAATAGGAGCCATGCAGGATTGCCCCCGCTAGATGTCGCTATGGGCACTTTAATACGGCGTATCAGCACTTAAATGCAACTGATCCAGCCTCATGCCCACACAGGATCGAACTCGCCTTCCGTTGCTGTGGTCAGAGACATGCTGGAAAACAGTGATAAACCAATTCTCCGCTCAGCAGTAACCTGAGGAAGGCATCCACAATGCTCGGAAATCCTTAAAGTTTCCCATTTGAAAAGGGAAGAGAGAAACGAAGAAAGTACTAGGTTCGGGGATTCCTGCCATTCAGTAGGGTGACCGTGGGACCACGTGAGGGCAGGATAAATGCGGGAACTCTACCATCTACCGTACTACCACTGCTAGATGCTCCGTTATTATATTTTAATTACAGCTCGTTCCAAATTGCCCTGGTGTTATTTATTCGTATAGTTTTCCTGACGTTAGGCTCTAAGCAGTGGTTTTTATAGCTTAGTCCCTTATCTTCCACTTGTTACTGGTCACTCAGTGGCTCCTTGACAGCTGTAAGCCTGTGATGAATTATCTGCCTCACTTGTCCGTCGACTTCAGACAAAGGCACCTGCTAAATAAAGAAATGTAATAAATCTAAATGTAATGCTTTGTGCTGTGTCCGGGGAGTGGAAATAAATCGAAATGGAGATGCCTGCTAGTCAGAGAATGAAAGGCTTTGTCAGCAGGTCCAGGCTCTGTGCCGGAGCGCTGCATCTCAGCAGGCGATACATAATCTGCGAGAGCCGTTAACAAGCTAACGCATGCAATTAATCACCTTGTGTAACACATTAAACATGGTAGCGCTGACAGCCCAAGTGTATCACATACACCTACGTATAATTATGTACTAATTATGTGATGATGATCATATGTCAGCTATAACATGCCCCCCCAGGTCTGTTTCCAGCGTCTTCCCCCTGTTTTATATGGTTTCCTTGTGTCAACACAGATTACCATATGTTTGTATGGTTTCCATGTGCTTACACAAGTCTCCCTGTCTTCCAACAGTTTCTTCGTGTTTGTCTGAGTTCTTCATGTTTACTCAGATCACCTTGTATTTGTAGTGCTTCTTTGTGTGCACGTGCTTTCCTCGTGTTTAAACCGGTCTCCAGGTGTTTGTACAGTTTCTTAGTGTTTGTGTTGGTTCCTGGTTCTTACGCCTGCCTCCGGATGTTTGCATTGTTTCTTTGTGTCCATGTGCTTTCCTTGTGTTTACATCGGTGTCCATGTGTTTGTACAGATTCTTTGTCCTCACACTCCCTGATTCCTGCCACAGTTGGGATGCTTATTGAACCGGTGCTTCTAAACTGCTGCGGTTGTGACTGTTTGTGTAAATGAGTGCATGCATGTGTGTGCCCTGTGATGGGGTGACTGGTTCCCAGTGCATTCTGTGATCGGATGCATATACACTATATGAACAAAAGCATTGGGACACACTTCTCAGTCATTGAATTCAGGTGTTTCATTCAGACCCATTGCCACAGCTGTATGCAGTCAGTTTTACAAACATTTGTGAAAGAATGGGTCCTTGTGAAGAGCTTATTGAATTCAAGTGTGGTTCTGACAGGATGCCATCTTTGCAATAAGTCAGTTTGTGAAATTTCTTCCTTGCTAGATTTTCCACGGTCAACTGTAAGCACAAAACTGTGTGCCGGGAGCTTCATGGAATGGGCTTCCATGGTTGAACAGCTGCATGCAAGGCTCACATCACCAAGCACAATGCCAACCGTTGGATGGAATGGTGTTCCACTGGCCTCTGGAGCAGTAGAAACATTTTCTGTGGAGTGACAAATCACACTTCTCTGTCTGGCAGCCTGATGGACGAGTCTGGTTTTGGTGGATGCCAGGAGAATGTTACCTGCCTGGCTGCATTGTGCCAACTGTGAAGTTTGGTGGAGGAGAGATAATGGTATGGGGTTTTTCAGGAGTTGGGCTAGGCTTCTTAGATCCACTGAAGGGTATTCTTAAAGCTTCAGCAGACATTTTGGACAATTCTATGCTTCCAATTTTGTGGGAACAGTTTGGGGAAGGACCTTTTCTGTTCCAGCATGACTATACCCCAGTGCCCAAAGCAAGTTCCATAAAGACATGGTTGGGTGAGTTTGGTGTGGAAGAACTTGACTGCCCTGCACAGAGCCCTAACCTCAACTCCATCGAACACCTTTGCCATAAACTAGAACGGAGATTGTGAGCCAGGCCTTCATGTCCAACATCAGTGCCTGACCTCACAGATGCTCTTCTGGATGAATTGGCAAAAGCTCCCATAGACACACTCCAAGATGTTACGGAAAGCCTTCCCAGTAGAATGGCAGCTGTTACAGCTGCAAAAGGGGGACCAACTCCATATTGACGCCTATGGATTTAGAATAGAATGTCATGAAAGCTCCTGTAAGCATAATGGCCAGGTGTCTCAGTACTTTTGTCTATATTGTGTATATTCAGGGGCAGTTCGGAGGGAGAACCTCCCTTAAACTGGGACAAAATCCTGCTTTTATGGCTTTTGAAATTACTTTCGGAGGAACTACCACAACTCTGGAGTAGGAAACGTAAGGGGACCCACCCTTACCCTGACAGTTCTTGGCAACTATGGCATCCCCAAAGTAGCCGTCCCGGCACCTCTCACAGCGCCAGCCCGCCGTGTGGCCTGTACACTTCAGGCACTCTCCACTGATCGGGTCACATTTGACAAGGTCTTCTGGATCCACATTACCACTGCAGTCGCATGGAAGGCAGCCTCCACCCAGGGCCATGGGGTCTCCGTAGTAACCGTCAGAACACCTTGAAGAATTAAGGCGGAGTTAATGACAGCGAATCACAGATGTCAAATCCATAAACCCTGCATAGCTACCTTAAATGTCAATGACTACTTTTCCATTACTGTTTTTCATTAGCGCTTCCCTTACCTACGTAGCCTCGCACTTGTAAGGCCACCGTTTTTGCTCCCCATCTCACACAATTACATTTTATTCATTTAGCTGACGTTCTTATCCAAAGTGACTTACATTAGAGGGAAGGGTTACAATTTATGTGCTCCTTGGCATTTGAACCAATGACCTTTGCATTGTTCATACGACGCTTTACTTTCTGTGCAATGGGAGCAGTCCAAAAATATCAGACAGGATACATTTTCAACATCGTGTCCCCATCATCCTTTCTAGCTCAAATGTGCCTCTTCTGCAACACTATATTTACAAAAACCTTATATTATGATCGGCCATTTAACCAGCTAAACATGGCAAGGATTCCTGCTGCGTTGCCCTGGTCCAGAATGACGTGCGGCATAGCAGATCTTAATTTTCTTGCTGGAGTGTAAATATCGTGGTATTGGCCAAGGGTTATGCCAGAATATATGGTCTTATTAACTCCATAAACTATTTTAATTTGCGTTTAGGTATGGAATGTAATTAGCTGAGAGGGAGAATGTTAGCTGGTGTGGTGCCAGCTGTTGTGTGATAGTCACATGACTGGCTTGACTGAAGGTTGCCAGCCATAAGCTATGGTGTATAAGAGCAATTCTATTTGTAAGGCATCACATGCAGTTCCAGGTCTCCATGGATCAGGGGGCAGCCCCATAATGAATTCTGACAGACATTTTGATCAAAATTAAAATTTTTGCTAAGGACATACATAGTTTTTTTTCTCACTCAAAACATTTTGCCACCGAAACAGGTGAGTCTCACCACAGATGTGCTTGTCCATGCACTGACATTGCACTCCCTGTCATGGACTCGAGGTCTTGTGCAGGAGTTGCCACGTTTTGGTAACATGTCAGACTTACTACCTGCTGACTGATCATTTCTGTTGTGAGACATAGTTTTTTCTCCTCTATACATAATCAAGGCATGTCTTTACTGGCCCTTCATTCAGGCACAAGTCCACTTGTATGTTTGCATTCCGATTTGTTGTATGGCTGTCGTGTCGTGATGTCCCCTGTGGCTGAACCACACGGGTGACTCACCTCTCGCACCGGGAGCCTGTGTGGCCCAGCTGGCACTGGTCACACATCATCTGTCCCTCATCGTCAAGGTGGCAAGTGGGACTAAAACTGAAACAGCTAGCCGTTAAAAGCAGGCCTCCTCAAATCTCGTAGTGTGTTCTGTTTTGTTTTGTCTTAGTGTTTTGGGAAATAAGCTAATTGGTAAAAACGCATTTAAACATGAACTTAAGAAAGACAAATCCTTCTGTATTATCTGAACACTGGAAAATACAGTATAAATATAGTACCAATCAAAAGTTTGGAAACCCTTAGAAAGGGTTCAGCTCTGTGGCTTGGGAAATTGCTGGTTCATATCCCGTGGTCGGCAGAGTGATCCCACCATTGGGCCCTAGAACAAGGCCCTTAACCCCAGGGACCGGCTGCCCATACTGTCTCCTCTACACCAGTTTCATGATGTGGCCTCCTGGGACCCTTTTCCGGCTGTCCTGAAGGAGGTTCTACATATATGCTGAGCACTCATTGACTGCTTTTCCTTCACCCTCTAGTCAAAGTCCTCTAAAGCAATTTTTACTGTGTTTAGGTCAGGTGGCCTGGTCATGTGATACAACACTATCACTATCCTTTATAAGTAGCTTCATGTGTCCAAACTTTTGACTGGGACTGTAGTTCTGTGGCAATTTATTTATACAGAGTATAAGCACTCTTACACCTATTTTATCCTATCAGCAATGGAAAACAACACCCCTGTCTAGTGCTAAGTACTGCACTCTGTCTTAGGGATCATATGAGAAATTATCTCACCATAAACCCACACATTCCTCCACTTGTGGCTTAAAATGAACAAGTCTGAGGAAGAAATGTAAACATGCCATTAGGAGTATTTGTTAGGTATAAATTGGATCAATTTCATTCAATATTGGGACATCGCTCTTTTTAACAGCGTTATTGTCATTCTTCTCTAATATGACGGCTAACTTATTGATTAGCTTTGATGCTGGCAGCTTAACTCACTTGGTGTCCATGGTGGGTAGCGGGCAGCTACATTGTTGGCAGTCCTCTGGGGTTCCCGCTGTGGGGTCACCATAGAAACCAGGCTGACACCACTGGCAGTGTGGGCCGGTGGTATTGTGCTCACACCCCTGGGGTGGAAACAGCATCGCACAGGTTGCCCATGACACATTCAAGCAACCATCTCCAGAAATGCTACTTTTGCCATGGTCTTCCATGGTATCGCAGACAGCGCTGTGCTTGTGCACGATTTTCCACCCCCCGTGATCCATCTCAGCCAATCGGGGCACGCCAAGCTCCAGCCATTATGGAAATGGCTTTACGAGCAGGAGGTTGCAGGTCGTGCTCTTGCCTGGAGCACTAATGTGTGCCCTTGAGCGAGAAGCGCATGCTAACATGAGTCCCATGTGCATTTACAGCAATACAAAAATCACACAGTGATAAAAATGACACTCAGTTGTGTTCCGTCTGGGATTAAAGTGCATTCTAATCGATCATAGTATAATCTACATTAAAATCTATATTAATGAGATGAATGTTATAAAATTGGTAGCTTGATACAGCAGTGAGTAAATGTCAAAGATTGAAAAAGCAGAACAGCCAGAGAATGATTGGTTGAAGCTGCTTATTCATCAGTGCTGGACGTGACCCCTGAAAGGTTGTTCTATATCGAGAGGTAAACAGCGAGAGGGGCTCACCAGACAGACGCCGCTGGTATCGCACCGTGAGGCATGGCCGTTGCACTGGCACTCGAGGCAGGAGGTGCCATGGAGAGTCCCGTTGACACGGTAAAACCCAGGTAGGCAGAGCTGTGGACGGAGAGCCCCCCCATGTGGTGAACTTGGAAATAGAGGTTTCCTGTCTGCTGCTTCTCTGGTCCCTAGTTTCCTCCACCCCATTAGTCCTGCTTCATTAGATATTGGTAGGAGGTCAGCATCCAGTGAAGTAAAATCAATGCTATGTGAAGCAGAGTCACTCCTACGCCAGGGGAACGGGCCGGGCCACCCTACCTCGCAGGACATCCCGGCGTAGCCCCTGGGACACTCGCAGCTCTCCACCTCCAAGGCCCGGGTGTAGCTGGTGCCGTTGGGGTCGGCTATGTCCATAGCCACAGAGCTCAACCTGGCAGACACGAAGAAAGAGGCATCAGAGAATGAGGCCATGACCAGCTGAAGCCATAGCCAAGCCCACAAAAATAACAGAGTTAGAATTTTCTCCAACTATTGTATGGGATTTTAGGCCTTTCCACTAAGTTCATATTCTCTAAAAATTAAAATGAGAATTTAGTTGTGAAACATTTTTGTATCTCAGGTCATATCGGCAATCACGGTCCTGAAGGTCACCCTGCCTCACCACAGCTCTCCATCCAAGTTCTTGATGGATTTTGCCTGGATCCAAAGGTGTGCCATGTCAGCCAGAATGGTCATCAGCTCGGCCCGCTTGGCCACTACACTCGTGTCCAGGTTCACAAAGTTTCCTGGCTCGATTTTCACATCGACATGGTACTCCTTCCCTGGGACCAGCTGAAGCTCCTCAGACATTGCCTGCCGAAGGGTCCTCCCATTCCCCTGGGGGCGCCAGAGAAAATTAAGGAGATCATTTCTTTTGATTGACCTGACATCGTTATGTTTATGTTTCACACCAAGCTGACATATATAGATAAAAAAGTGTTTTTGCACTTCTCATAGGATGAGATTTAAAATAAGCGTTGAAAATCGCACTCAGCATGTAAAATAATATTATGCACTTTTAATTCACAGTTAAATACATCCTTTTTTAAATAAAGAAGTTTAGCTGAAGGAGCTGTGTAAAACATGTCTACAGATCGATATAAGACCGCCTCTGTAATGACCTAGCTTCCAAATGAGCACTGGGTGTATTCAACTTATTGAGTACTTACAAAAGTTATGGCTCTGAAATTGATGCAAGGATGAGCTTGACGTTTGATATTCCTGGGTTTATTAAAGGCACATCAAGATGCTATGTTTGAATGTTTTATGGGCCACCGTGAAAACGGCACAGCGGCAAAATCCATGGTGGGATTGATTAGAGCGGGGTAATTTCTCTTCGTCCCATTTCCATTGACAGTAATAGCCCAGCGAAAACCTTTCATGGCGGATTTACTCCTATGACTAAATGCCTGACGCCCACAGGCTAGAACTACTTACCTGAATAACGATACAGAAGTGTGAGGAGGGGGGTCGACTCCTGCCCGTCACGGAACCATTCAGCATAATGGCATAACTCAGAAAGCCACCATACGACGTGAGCTTCAGAGAAAGAGGAAAATGCGGAGGACGCGTTAGCACAACTTTGTAACGCCAACATCAACAGACAACGTCCGTTTCAATGACCTGCTGCCTCGATGCGAACCATGTGACCAACCTCCAACCCGAGTAAATTGACGTAACACTTTTACACACGTTACATCTTCCCCAAGTATCTAGGAGATATCAGAGAGGCAGATAATTACTTGCCCTATCTCTCCCTCCCTCAAAATGTGAAGTAAATGTCATGGATAATTACGAATTCAAATTCGCTTAATCACACGGGGGGCTAATGGGTACGTGTATTAGTAAAGAGTGTAACCTAATTATTCCTAGGTTTCATAATTTGCCCAGCTCCGTTCGAATGTAATTACAGGCCATGATCCATTAACTTTGGGGGGGGGGGCAGAAGAATTTAAATTGGATGGTGCGCAGTAATAGACGAGGTCCCTGAGGGACACCGAGAGATCTTTCCCCAATCCTACAAGCTTGTTCAAATCAATTTTGTCTCTGCAACACTCGCAGTTCATTACCCCTGCACCCCACCCCAGCCCAAAACGATGCCCAGAGACAGTACGGCAAAATATGCCGCGCACCCCCCGGGGAAGGCAGTCGGCGCAGTCCAATTGACTTGACTTTTACTACGTGCTCCATAACAAGAGCTAGCTACTCTAGAGAGGAACAAGTCGGGGCATTACATGATAGGGACATGTATTTGGGTACTGGGGGGGGGCTTGCAGACCTGGGGGAGGACAAAGGCCGATCACTCAAGGAACCCAGATTTAGGGTCTTGGACCTTAGACACCAGTCTAATATACTTTGATTTTAATTCATTTTTCATTTGAAATTCAGTTCAGTTTTAATTAGTTTTCAGTGTGGTTTTTTATTATTATTTTAAATATATATTTCTATTTAGTTTTTATGCATTCTATTTTAAGTTTCATTTTTAATAATTTTATTACTAGGGGTATACTGAAAGTTGTAGAGCTATTTTATGTGTCTGATCTTTAGATGAATGCACAATGCAGTGGTATGTACTGTAGTGTACTAATGTCCTCAAAATGGGCAAAACATGCTCCAGGTCATCTAAAGCCAATATAGTAAATTGCGTTTCAAGGAGGGATGATAAATAAACCATTCATTTAGATAAATAGTATTAAAACATTGTAATGGAAAGTATTTGATGTTTGTTTTTATTTAAGTTTTGGAAGCAATATTTACAGTTTTCATTTTGTTTTAATTTGTATTGTATTTTTGTTACTTATTCATTTCAGTTTATGAAAAAGTCCTCTTATAGTTTTAGTTTTCATTAAAACAATTATAACCCTGCTACATCCCATTCTACCCTCAACTGCTCTTATTGTTCATCCCCATCATTTTCTAAACCAGTCTCCTCTCCCCTCCCTTCCTCTTCTCTCCCCGGCCCTCCTCTCCCCTCCCCTACCCTCCTCTCCTCTGCCCTCCTCTTCTCTCCCCGGCCCTCCTCTCCCCTCCCTTCCGCTTCTCTCCCCTGCCCTCCTCTTCTCTCGCCGGCCCTCCTCTCCCTTCCCCTCCTCTCCTCTGCCCTCCTCTTCTCTCTCCTGCCCTCCTCTTCTCTCCCCGGCCCTCCTCTCCCCTCCCCTGCCCTCCTCTCCTCTGCCCTCCTCTTCTCTCTCCTGCCCTCCTCTTCTCTCCCCGGCCCTCCTCTCCCCTCCCCTGCCCTCCTCTCCTCTGCCCTCCTCTTCTCTCCCCTGGCTTCCTCTCCCCTCCCCGGCCCTCCTCTCCTCTCCTCTCTTCAAATGACATCCCTTTTCCTTCTTCACTGTCACATTTTTCTGTTCACCATCCTGCCAGGACCAATAACTCACCTTGTTCCCCAAAAATGATCTGGGAGCAGCCCAGGAGAACAGGAGCTCTGCGGCTCCGAGGGGGGAGGCCATAGGGATGGTTAGGGGGGCCGGAAGCATCAAAGCACCACGGTGCATCACCTGCGGACGCAGCCTCTGTCAGACGCAGCCTCTGTCACACATTTATGTGTCACTGACACATAAATGCCCCCTCAATCATGTTTCAGGTATGACAGTTTTTACAGAAAGAAGACAATTTTGTGTAATATGCTCAATAACAATAAAGTGTACCTCCGTGATAAACACTGTAGGCTTTGTGATACACTTTTTAATTAGGTTTCCTTGTTTGGCAAACCTAAATAGGGTGCACTCTGGGTAATTTCAACCCCTTTGGTTGCATTGAGTGTTTTGGTTGTTGGGTATCATTAATATTGCCTGATAACATTTGTCTATGTCCTTATTGGCTGACCTGACCCCTGAACCAGGGGCTGCTCTTGCAGTCTTGGGACACCCCAAAGCAGAAGCACTCTGTGCAGCCCTGCTGGTTGGCCACTTGCAGGTTGTAGAATCCCTCTTTGCACCGGTCGCAGTTCTGCCCCATGACGTTGGCCTGGGCGGGATGTTCGAGAAGGTCGTGGTCAAGTGACGTCTGTGAATCGTGAATACGAGGAGAGCGAGGCCGTGCTGTACCTTGCATGCGCACTGTGCACAGGGGTCGACGCCGAGGCTGCCGTCCAGCTTGCAGCTGCAGGGCGTGCATGAGGGGAAGTCCCGGTAACCGGCGGCGCAGTGATCACAGCGCCAGCTGGCAAAGCCCATTTTGCAGGGGCACTGTCCAGGCAGCACACCTGAGCGACACAGTTTTACCCACCATCAACCCCTGGTGGAAATGCAAAATATCGTTGCATTCAATGATGCCCGGTAACTTCAATGCCTCCAAAGACCTAGAACAAACTCATATAACAGCATCGTATCTGGCTGTTTTTTTATGCTTTGTTCCTAACATACCGCTACCTCAGAGATATTTATATCGGCAGCAGTCAGAGGGGTCGGAGGGGTATGGATACTCTGGCACATTTGGGGGCCCAGAACTTCATAGGGGCCCCAAAAATATGTGTTTGGGGGCCCAATTGACAAAATCCCCCCCCCCCCCTTGGCAAAATGTACCAGGGGACCCAAAATTTCAAACTGTGCCCCCCTGGTAGCAGTAATTACAGTTTCTTTCCTGATTAAGAGGAGAAAACTGCTAGTTTACTCCTAGAGCACAGCGATGATGCCGAAACAAGAGGAGGAGCGGGAAAAGGAGTCCTGAGCACCTTCGTCCGGCCTGGCGTGCTCCATGTCCTTAACGCAGACCTGACTCAGGGATCCGATGGAGCTGCACTCACACTGCACGCACGGGTGGTCATCGTATGGGGACACCTCGAGTATTGGGAAAGGGCGAAAAGAGTCAGCTGCGGTTACGCTGGGTTTCCGTTCAGCCAAGACGGTTCACACTTGTCTGTTCCTCCCTGATTTTTATCATGCTTATGACACAGCAATATACAACAGTCCCCCTCTATCTGCAATTTCATTACCCTGGTTTCTGTTATCTGCAGTTTACTGCAGTCAAAAAACTGTCACTGTAAAATGTTTTTTGATTGTTCCATCGTCCTTTGAAGAGCATAAAAAGTATGATTTTCATTGCTCTGTCATCTCTTGATACATGATATTTTTTTAATACTTTATCATCTCTTGATAATTACACTAAAACATCAGGAGCCATTTTATTTGAGAGTACAGTACTGTGTAGTAACTGTATAATAATGTACAATGGACTTTATTATTACTGTGTTTAATGTTAGTAATGTCTTTCTGTGGTTAATTGCACATGGTTCGCTGTTATATCCATGGTTTCGACTATCTGTGGTAGGTCTTGGAACGTATCACCTGTGAATTTGGAGGGACTAATGTACTCTGAAAATGACATTTTATAGATAGACAGATACTTTTATTAATTCCAAAGGAAATTTAGAAAGCTTAGTCCACCCTAGCTAGCTGTTCACTGTAAAATTTTACTTTAATTACACATAAGTCAAATGGTTCTAAATGAACCAGAAATCAAGAAAAATAAGTGCAGTGTGACACCTTTAATAAGTCAGCTGACGCTTCTTTAAATAACATCTCATAATTGCATTATAATTAAAAAATGAATCGCTTCCAGGTACAGAATGCAGCATTGAAGATTTCGGGTCCCAAGCCCCCGGCCGCAGCCAACAGAGCTCCTACTGTACCTCCTTGCGTCTGAAGAAGCCATCTGCGCAGCTCTCGCAGTTGACACCGGCGGTGTTCTGAGTGCAGCTGATGCAGACGCCCCCGCCAGAGCGCTGACCGTATGAGTTGAGGCTCAGCTCGAGTTCAGCTACTGTCCGGCTGTGGAAGCAGTCGTCCGATTTGTTGTGGCAGTTGCACCCTACGGATGCAGACGGCAGTGAGTTTGTACAGCGGAGGAGCGAGTCGACAGATGCCCACAGGGTGTATGCGCCATGCCCACAGGGTGTATGCGCCATGCCCACAGGGTGTATGCGCCATGCCACGAGAAAATAACCAGGTCGATGCCAGGCTTGGCGTTTCAATTTAAAGAGTCAGATCAGATCAAGGGTCCTACCTACATCTACATTTACATTTATACACTATATGTATAAAGGTATTGGGACACACCTCTTAATTATTGAATTTAGGCGTTTAATTCAGACCCACTGCCACAAGTGTATAAAATCAAGCACCTAGCCATGCAGTAGAGGTCTGCACGGGACTGATTTTCTGTCCCGCTCCTGCAGAAATGTGTGATATTTCGACCCGCTCCTGCCCACATCTGTTATGGTTTGTCCCGCTCCCGCCTGCTGAATCCCGCAAGCAAGGCTGGTGGAGTATAGGGTGGGCCAAAAATTTTAAATGCTATAATATCTTGGCTTATAAAAATTAAATAAGGTACCAAATTTATTTGTTGTCTAACTGACATACAGGAATTTATGAAACGTAGGCTATATTATGTGGGCACGACTCCGGCTGCGAATTAAAGATGTCTTTTATATAAGGGTACATTTGGCTAACCAGTTTTCCACAAAAAAATACAGCCAACAACGTTTCTAACTAGGCTACAGACCTGAATTAAAAATATCTAAACAGTCTCAATAGAAACATTTCACAGTCAAAATGAGAGGAATATAGGGAAACATTGAAATTTGTGGCGTGGCTCTGCGTTTATTCCAACCTCAGTCAGTGCGCTCATTGCGCTTCCATTCTGCCGGCGTCCCACATAGAGGTCTGCGCGGGACTGATTTTTCAAGTTTCTGTCCTGCTCCCGCCCGCTCCCGCAAGAAACACTCAAATGTAGACCCGCGTCGCATGCTTTTGCACCACGTCCCGTGAGTCCCGCGGGTGTCCCGCCCCATTGCAGACCTCTCCCATGAAGTCAGGTTTACAAACATTTCTAAAAGAATGGGTTGTTCTGAAGAGCTCAGTGAATTCAAGCATGGTGCTATCATAGGATGCCACCTTTGCAATAAGTCAGTTTGTGAAATTTCTTCCCTGTTAGATATTCCACAGTCATCTGGTATTAAGAGGTATTATTGCAAAATGTAAGCATTTAGGAATAACAGAAACTGAGCCACAAAGTAGCAGAATAGTATTGGGACACCCCAATCACCCAAATCATGGGATTATGGTGTAGGGCTTTTTTCAGGGTTTGGGTTTGGCCCCTTAGTTCCAGTGAAAGGAACTCTTAATGTTGCAGATTTCAAAGCCATTTTGGACAATTTCACGCTCCCAACTTTGTGGGAACAGTTTGGGGATGGCCCCTTCCTGTTCCAACATGACTGCGCACCAGTGCACAAAGCAAGGTCCATAAGGACATGGATGAGCGAGTCTGGTGTGGAGGAACTTGACTATCCAGCACAGAGCCCTGACCTCAACCTGACAGAACACCTTTGGGATGAATTAGAGCGGAGTCTGCGAGCCAGGCCTTCTCGTCCAACATCAGTGCCTGACCTCACAAATGCTCTCCTGGAAGAATGGTCAAAAATTCCCATAGACACACTCCTAAAGCTTGTGGACCGCCTTCCCAGAAGAGTGGCAGCTGTTATTGCCAACTGCATATTAAAGCTCATGTGTGTGTAAAGGCAGGTGTCCCAATACTTTGGGCAATATAATGTATGTGTGTGTGTGTGTGTGTGTGTATATATATATATATATATGGCAGTGTGTGACGCGGCCTGGGTTCCGGCGGCGCTCGCCTCCGCTTACTTTCACACATGTTGCCGCTCAGTGCTGTTCCCGGCCTCCACGGCTTCTGGTGGTGTCCCGGGCAGCACTCCTTGCAGTTTTCCCCGCACGTGTTGTGCTCACACTCGCACCGGAGCATCTGCATGGCAGCACACCAAAGTCACGACAGCCGTGCCGGCGTCTCCATCTCCCCTGACCCGTTCCTCTGCGTGTGACGTTCACGAGCGTCCAGCTGACGTCCCTTGCCGCGACAGCCGGGCTCTGCCCTCTTCCTGCCTTGTTCCCCAGTTTCTCATCAATCACGAATAAAATAAATAGAGGCAATAAAAAGAACAACGAGCTGCCTGAACCGTGCAGGATGCAGCTGGGGGTCGTTTTTTTTTTTTTTTTTTTTTACTGTCTCAGATTATGGGAGGACAGAAGCGTCCTGAGCTGCGGTTTTGCAAGACATGCTGATTTTGAAATTGCATTTTCTGCAAACGTTGATGGTCCTCAGCTGCTGTCAAAGCACATGCCAGACAATCGGAAGCAGGAAAGATTAAGTTGTTCCCTTCCTGCTACGGGGGGCAATAACTGCCGATAGCGGATACTCGCTGGCGCGTTCTTTAACAACTCGACTTGTCTCACAGATCTGGTAAATCAGCAGATCGTCTCTTTGGGAGGAAAAAGAATCGTGATGTAGGTTGACCTTCTGGTGATGTGATACAAAAATGAAATAAATGTTTTCAATTTAAAGATGGCATGAAATGTCATTTAAAATGGAGGCTGCTTAGATTAATGGTGATCCTGCCGCCTTCCATCCATCCATCCATCCATCCATCCATGCATCCAATCCTGATTAGGGTTACAGGTTATTTTGCTACAGTATTATATGTTTGAGAGCTTTTGGGAGAAGGTGGTGTGGGGGGTACCTTGGTGACGGGGTCCCAGGGGCAGGTGCGGGCATGGCCGTAGCAGATACACATACCACCCACTGATATGTCCTTGATGGAGTAGTAGTACTGTGGAGGAGAGACACAGGGGGACATTGTTAGTGACACGGGTCCCCTTATGCAGCACCAGTCAATAGTCTGGACAGAACCTACTTATAGATTTATACGTTGATTTGTACTATTTTCTACATTTTACAATAAAGACATCCATCCATCCATCCATCCATCCATCATCTACAGCTTTTCCGGGTCGGGTCGTGGGGGCAGCAGTCTAATCAGGGAAACCCAGACTTCCCTCTCCCTGGCCACTTCCTCCAGCTCCTCTGGGGGAATCCCGAGGCATTCCCAGGCCAGCCGGGAGACATATTCTCTCCAGCGTGTCCTGGGTCTTCCCTGGGGCCTCCTCCCAGTGGGACAATAAAGACATCAAAACTGTAAAATGACATATGTCCGTTATAGGTGGCTTGGTGTGTCCAGAGTTTTGACTGGTACTGTATTACAGTCAAAGCCCAAACTCTGGTTTCAGGAAGACTTTAAGCTGACAGGCAAATTACAGCTGCACGTCGACGCAAGCCACCCAACGCCTGCGGGTGATGCATCATTATGATTCATCTCGCTGCCGACGCTAATTGGTCGTCTTCAGACGCGAAGAGCTGAAATTTACGGCGGACTTCCGTGTGTTCAGCGACGGCCACAAATCACCGCCGGTCATGACTGTAAACATGCAGATTACAGCGTGTGTTGCAAAGGCACTTTCAACATATGGCAGTCTTCCCAAGAGAGAGACTGTGAAAATATGTCTACGTGTTGGGTGAATGCCTGTGAATGGAATATTCTGATAAATATCCTTTCTCTTCGACTTGAGATGCATCATAAATCATTGTTATTTCCTTATATTTCCACATTTATAAATAAGAAGCCATTCGAAGCTTTTAATTCATACACATTTAAACTGAGATGTGAAATGAATTCTTTCAATGACAGCAGCTGTCACATTAAATCTAGACAGAACAATTCTCTTTATGCTATGATTCAACTTTGCAATGATTCTAGAGTGTTAACACCCCAAAGGATTTTCATAATACCAGCTTTAAATTTAGGAGTATTATGCCATAAAAATATATATTATTTGAAATTGAAGCCAAATACACATTTTGTTAATTTAATATCACAGCTAAAGCATAAACGTTTCAGGATATACCTACAGGAAGAACAAGCCACTTAAAGTAGTCAATAAATTTACTGAAAGAAGTCACTTAATGTACTTTTTCAGGGGCAGAACTTGGGGGGGGTAACTACTATGGGCCTCGCACTCTAGTCTAGGGGCCCCCTGTCCCCCTTTTTTTTAAAGCAACAATTATTGCTAAAGCATAATATACAACAATACAATATATCCTAGATTTGGCCAATTGATCTGCCAGTGTGAAACCCATCCCCCTACTGGCAAATTTTACCGCTGACACTCCGGCCCCCACCCTGATCGGAGTTTTACCGCTGACACTCCGGCCCCCCCCCCGATCGGAGTTTTACTGTTGACACTCCACGCTTTGATTAGTAAATTATTGATGCTCCATCGTTATTAATTCCCCCTCATTTCTCTTATGGCCTGCTGAAGGCCCCCCCTACCCATGTCAGCCTAGAGCCCCCAGAGAAGTTAATCAGTCCCTGTACTTTTTCTATAACCAGTCTTTAGTCGCCAGGAGCCTGCAGCCTATCCAGATGCCAGTCTTTAGCAGGGCACACACACACACACACACACACACACACATGCATATGTAGGGTAAACATATCCTTATGGGGACCGCTCATT